TGGAAAATTCTGGGCAAGGAGATGCTGTGGTGTTTGACGCAATGGTACGGAATGCCGCCCTGTCCGCACTCGAATGCTTGGTTCTTTCTGATGCGGAGCGCAGGTCTTTGGACTCCACGGTCTTTAAGTTTGCCAGGAAAGTTTTAAATTGAATCAGAGGACGGCGCTTGCCGATACCATGCAGTTCCGGATGCAGACATCTTCCGCATTTTGCGCCAGCGCGACTGGAGCTGCAAGTTCGCCGGTTGCAGTACTGGCAGTCAGTTGCAGCACGACCGCATTTGCACAGGATGGTTCTCACCGTTGTGTTTGGGCATTTCCAGTCTGAGCCTGGCTGTGTTCTACCTGACGGTTCCCTTCGTGCAGGTTCAAACCCTTGGGCAAAGCAACTGGAAACAGATTTGCGGGCTTTACTTGAATTGGACTCTGCTTGTGGTCGCGTTTTCTTACTATTCACAGACTACTGGGAGGATTTTTGCAGATTGATTGTTCTGAGCTACGTTCACGTTTTTTCTCCGTGTGCATTCCTCCTGCCGGGCTTTCACCACCTGTGGAGCAGCATGCAGAGCTGGAACCATTTGCAGAGTTGCCAGATGCGTGTAGCTGTGCCAAAGAGGATGGATCCCTTTGCCGTGCTTCTTTCAATTCAGTGCAGGCGCTGGCCATGCACATGCGGCTCACGATCGGGGGCACCCATGGTAAAGCGCAGGATTTTGTGAGCGCTGCTGTGTGTAATCAATGCCCCTGGTGCCGACATATTTTTGCAAGTGTTTGGGTCGCGCAAAAGCATATACGAACTCGCCTTCAACGAGGGCAATGCGGAGTGGCAGTGTTTGCCAAACTAACGTGGCTGTGCCACATGAATTGTCATGTCCTTTCTGCCAATGTGAGCACATGCCTCTGGAGGCTCTTTTTACTTGCATTGTGTCGCACTTCCCCGCAGGCAATCTGGTTCTCCAAGGTCAGGCAGAGCACAACCCTTGACTGTGCCCGTCTGCAACTCATGTCGTGGTTTGGCACTGTTCACGAGGGCGAGAGGTCTGCCAAGCCTCCGACTCGAAAGTTGACATGGGCAAGATGGTGGAGCTTGTGGCAAAGCTGTGCTTGAAGAACAGCCTCAACATCAGGGAGTTGCAGGCTGCAGTGCTTTACACCTACTTGGTTCCCAAGGATGGGCGATTCGCAGCGGCTGGGATGGACGCTGCTCGAACCCACATGGACAAGGTGAAGGAAGCGAACGGAAACCAGAAGAAACTTGATGAGCTTGGCCCGGCGCACGTGCATGTGTGGGCTTCCCTTGTCAAGACTGCTTCCGAGTGCTCCATCAAAGAAGATGACAAGAAGGTGCTGGGGTCTCGCCGGCAGAGGTTGCCGTGACGGTGCAGGTGGCGGGCTTCAAACAAGCGTGGGACAAAAAGATCATGAAGTTGAGACTTGCTGAGGCTCTCCTTTCCCATGGCGGCAAGAAGAAGTGCGGCCAAGCACCTTGCGGGGGCTTGGAGAGACAGATCCAGGACATGCTTGACACGCTGCAGTAACCTACTTCAGTGGTCAGTGAGAGGGCAAGGCGTGCTGACGTTGCCGATTTTGTAAAGACATTTCTTTGTCTGACTGCGGCGGACACATGTTTCTTCCTGGTCTCCAGTGCTGGCGTCAACCATGCCAGCCTGTCTTGTGCTCAGTGTCTGAATACGGCCCCCTGCTCAGCGAGGACTGTGACCGTCCGACAGCTGCGGAGAGAGAGAGAGAGAGAGAGAGAGAGAGAGTTCACGCACATGTGTGTTCCAATTGGACACGTCTTTGTGTTTCAGGCGAGCACATGCTTGTTATCAGATGGACGCACGTGAGTGTGTGTTCCGGGTGCACGTGTATATTTGTGTGTGCACGTGTACACATATGTGCGTCTCACGTGTACACAGACGTGTGTTCACGTGTACGCACTTCTGTCTTCCAACTAGACGCGTGCTTGTGTTCCAGGAGAACACGTGTTTGTTATTAGATGAATACTCGTGTGTGTCTGTGTTTCTGCGTGCGCATAAATGTGTGTGTGTTCACGCGTGCAGTACACATGTGTGCGTTCCCTTGTGCACATGTGTGTGTGCTCACTTGTGCGCATGTGTGTCTCCCACGTGTACACAGAGGTGTGTGTTCACGTGTGCACACATGTGTGGTTTTATCAGACACGTGTATGTGTTCCAGGTGAACACATGTCTGTTTTCAGCCGAACACCCGTGTGTGTGTTCCACGTGTACACATGTGTGTTCACGTGTGCGCACATGTGTGTTTCAATTGGACACGTGTTTGCGTTCCATGAGAACACACGGTTGTCATCGGATGAGCGCACTGGCGTGTGTTCCGGGTGCACCTTTATGTGAGTGTTCACGTAGTTCACGTGTGCACATATGTGTGTTCACGTGTACACAGATGTGTGTTCCACTTGTACGCACATGTGTGTTCCACTTGGACACATGTTTGTGTTCCAGGTGGACAGATGTGTGTACCACGTGAACACATTACTATGTGCTAGGTTAACTTTTTCGCATGTGACGGCATATTTGCTCTCCATTTGTATACATGTGTGTGCTCCAGAAAACGCATGATTCTTTTCGAAGTGCGCGCATATGTGTGTGTGCGCTTTAGGTGAGCATTTATGTTTGCCCACGCGTGTGTTCCACGTGTGCACACATGTGTGTGCTTTAGTCGCACACACGGTTGGACACATACTTGTGTTCCAGTGGTATACATATGTGTTTCCCACATGTCCACACATGTGTGCTTTAATTGCACGTGTTTGTGTTCCAGGTGAACACACGTGTGTTCCACGTGTACACACATGTGTGTCTGAATTGGACACGCGTTTCATTGTGTTCCAAGTGAACACATGTGTGTTCCACGTGAACACATTAGCGTGTCGTAGGTGAACACATATGTGTGTTCCACTGCGTGCGCTTTCAAGAAGCACACATTGGTTTTCCAGCTCAACACATGTATGCGTGTGCCGCAGGTGAATGTATACCTGGGTTTTGCATGGGCACTTTTTTCTAGATTTTCCCGCTTTCATTTCATCCAAAAACGCTCAATTCGAAAGAGCACGCTCAATTGGAAAGTGGTTCTGGTCCGCACATTTCCGCTCATTTCCCGCCGATTTCCGCTCATTTCCCGCCGATTTCCGCTCATTTTCCGGGGGAGAACTTGCCAAATCATGCCAAATCAAGATTTCTGCTCATTTTTGCTTTCCGCTCAAAATCTGAAACGAGCCAAAAAAAAAGCCCAGAGCCCCAAAAAGTGACCAAATGGAAGACCCAGGTATGCGTGTGTGCGCACGGGTGCACATCTGCGCGTGCCGCGCGTACTGTTTCAGTCGTTTACATATGTGTGTTCCACCTGTACGCACATGTGTGTCTGAGTTGGACATGTGTGTCTGAACTGCCCATGTGACCGCGCACTTGCGCAGCCACACTTGTGCTCACACGCGCGCGCTCGCCCACTATAGCTACCGCACGCTTGCCCAACCTCAGTTCTGGCGCGGTGCTGAAGCGCGAAGCGCCCCAGCAACACACTTGCAGCAACGCAACGCGTGCCGGGTTCACGACTGCATCATTTTGGTTCATCCGTGTTGAAGCGCAGAAAGCCACAAGCTGTTGGCATGTTTGTTCTTGCCCGTCAGTCCTTAACTGTTTGGGTCTCTGCTGGTGTAATATTAAGGAAATGGAACGGAAATGGAAAGTGGAAACGAAACAACGAAGTGGCTAGATCCAGCTTTGGAGCAGGAATGGCTACTTTCACATTGCCCCGCACAAGAATTTATCAGCAGCCTGCCGAGCCCGGATCATGGATTTCGAAGGGAAAAAGGCAACGGGAAATGGACAGGGGAAAACGAAATGGAAAGGAAATGGAAAGGAAATGCAACGAAGCGGCTAGATCTCTAGGTTTGGAACAGGAATGGCTATTTTCATATTGCCCTGCACCAGGCAGCCGGCTGAGCCCGGATCTTAGATTTGGAAGGGGAAAGCAGCAAAGAGAGATGGACAGAGAAATTGAGAAAGGAAATAGAAAGGACATAGAAAAGAAACGGACAGGAAATGGAAAGGAAATGGAAAGCAAATGGAAAGGAAATGGAAAGCAAATGGAAAGGACATGAAAAGGAAATGGGAAGAGAATGGAAAGAACATGGAAAGGAAATGGAAAGAGAATAGAAAGGAATCGTCTGTGTGTCTGTGTGCGTCGGTGTGTCTGTGTGTCTGTCTGTGCGTCGGTGTGTCGGTGTGTCTTCGTGTCTGTGTGTGAGTGCGTGTTTGTTTTTGCGCGTGCCTTTTTGATCTTGGGACTGTTTGTGTGTGTGTTTTCATTGGATTTGCTAGATCTGGGGCTTTTACCCTTTGAGCTGGGAATAGCTTGGTCAGGTGAAGGCTTTAATTGGCGAATTTCAGCAACCCCGCTAATGAGGGCCCCGAAACAGTCACATTCAAGAGGCTCAAGGCCTCTTGTGGGCAACCCCCTTTGTGTGACTGTTTGCCCATACTTTTGCAAAGAAATTGATCGGTTGGGGTCCACTGCAAAAAAATCCTATGTTTGCCCGGCTTTGTTTGCCCGATTGTTTTTGCCAGACTTTTTGGCCAGGGGTTGTTTCGCCCGGTTTTGTGTTCGGCATTTTTTCCTTCGAAACTTGCCACGGGCTCAAAACAGGCACAGGATCCTGAATTAGGGAAAGTTTGCTACAATAGAGGACCCAATTGCAACCTAGGGGTCTAACATTACCCACCCACTTGCCCATGCACGCACGTGCGCACGCCCGCGCCCGCACCCATGCACCAGCACGCACATTCGGCCACACCCATGTCCGCCGACCCACACACACTCAGACAGGGCTGTTCTCAGTGGAAGGCCAACCGTGGACGGTCGGGGGAAGCCAAAGGGAAGGCAACCTTAGGCTTTCGTTCGAAGATTTTCACGAATCGTTCTGCTTGTGCCCTTCCTTGGGAAGGAAGGGCGGTGGGCAGGCTTGACGTGATTCTGCTGCCGTCGCCCTATCGCGGTGCAACTGATCTGCCCAAGCAGCACAACTCGCCGGAAGAGTGCCTTTGAGTGTTGTTTGCGCGAGCGTTTTGGAGAGATTTCCTTGCTTCTTCTGAGAATTGTTTGCCAACCTGGCAGGACATGTGAGAAGCTTAAGCAAGAACCATTTGTTGCAGAAAGACCGCAACAGCCGGTGTGTTCCTTGTATGCGAGAGAACCTAAGGGATGTATTGCAGCCAAGCTGCCTGAACAGCTGTGGCCGCTACTCTTGCCGCGACCAAGAGGCAGGCCACCACACACAGAACTTGATGCGTTCAAAACTTACTTCCGCAAAGCCGACCTCAACCCACCCAATTTTGCCAGTGCCCGGAAGCTAGTTAGCTCTCCTTCGCAAGCCGTGTGTTTTCGGGAAGAGCAGAAACTCGGGGTTCGGTTTCCAAAGCGTCAAGTGTTCTGCCTGCATGCCAGTTGGGCGTTAGGACGTACCCCGAAACTTTCGGGTGTGACCAGGCCGGTTTGCGGCTGATGAGATGGGAGCCATGTGCATCGACGAGTGGGGATAGGGCCGAGGGCTGGCAACAAGGGGCGAGATCCCTCGGAAAGCTGAGGGCCGCAGGAGCGAGGCCGTTCCACAAAAAGACCGCTGAGGGTCGCAGCTTTGGATGGTACAAGTAAGGGATCCGCTACGCAAAGGAAGCAGCCCTTGCATCTTAGCGTGTTGGGACTGTCCTGTCTCCCCCACATTTGCCTTCTAAACCCCACGTGGCTTCTTCGCTCGCGGGCCCCCTTGCTTCATACGGCAGGGCGAATCGCGGCTCAACGCAGGGCTTGAGGATTCATATTTGGAGGGTACCTGTTTGATCCTGTGGCGATGCAAGGCTTTGGATCTCGTTACTCCTCTAAAACCACCCAGGGCAAATAGGGCGTAAAACGAAAAAACAACAAGGGGAGTTTTCGCCGATTTGTTGGTAGGCTCTTTGCTTACCCCCCAAGAAGGTCCCTTTGCTTGTGTCGGCTTCGCAACGTCAATCATCGCCTTCTTTAGCTTTCCGATCTTGCTTGCCACACGTGCACCAGCAACAATGCCTGCCTTTCCTACCAGCGCACGGCGCTTCGATTTTGTTTTGGAGGACAACCCATGGTAACAAGCGTGCTGGGTCAGTACTTGCGTTCGGGGGGGGGGGCGGACCCGGTGATGTGGTTTGTCTCAAGTCTGCTAACTGGTGGCTCACAGCCGCTGACACGCGGGTATTGAAAAGAGGGACACCCCATGGTGTGCCTTGTCGGTGTTCAAACCTAAACCAACAAGGGTACCGATTCCAAAACGTATTGAAAATCCCACGAGGCCGGCGTTTTCCGGTTTCGCGGATCGGTGCCCGAAGTTGTTTTCCGCGACTGGAAAAAACTGGTGATGCAACTGAGAGCAGCGGTTATGACTTCGACTGGTTGCGTTGTGGAAACCAAGCACCAAGCACAAGCCAACCACAAAACCATGGCTTGCCGCGTACGCCTTGCCTGGAAATGGGGCTGGGCGACAGCCCTAAAAGGCCGCAATGTAACCAATGAATTTCGCTCATAAGTTCTTATAAGCAACAAACCGAAAAGAGAAGTGCACGAGTGTGTCTCTGTTTTTCTCGAGAAGCCACTTTTGGTTGGTTGAAGGACAAGCCAACAGGAGAACCACCATGTCCGGGGTTCCCTAATTTTGGGATAAACTCAAGTCTTCAGAAAATGACGCGCCCAAATTTTTCCAGCTCCGATTCTGAGGTCTCGCTTCCGTCGTGACCCCGGTTGGCTCAGCCCCGCTTGCAATGTTTGCAATGCTTTTTGAGATGTCTCATCGTTTTGCCAAAGGGCGAAAAAGGTACGCGTGATTTTATAGCGAGCTCAGTCCCTGGCTTGGGGATGATTTATTTCGGTGTTGCAAATGATTGCAAGACTACAAAACTGTCGCGGCAAAGATTCTGGCCAACTTTACTCGATGCCTCGCTTGCGCATCCGAAAGGACGGAACCCATTTGCATCGGGAAAGGAACCAGTGACCAAAACCATGGTTGTAGGTTTGAGTTGGTTGCAACCATGGTTACAGTACTTACTAAGTACTGTCTTTCCGAAATCCTTGCCATTCTTAGCGTTCTTGATGTCTTGTGTCGTAAGGACACAAGGGGAGATCTTGTTAAACCAGCCATGTGGGTCCCCTCTTTCACACAGCCCTATTTTGGGCACACATGGAGTGCCAGTCCTGCAAGTCATCTATTGAAGGAGGTTTTGCGGCTTGGGAGCTAATTGGGCAATCGAGATACCAGACGAAAGCATCATGTTTCGGGTGCTTCCCCGTGTTTTTGCTTACAGGTGGGATACATGAAGTCTGGGCAAAATGGGGCGAGCTACGAGGGCGTGTGCGACGTGAGGATTCCTTATATAGGAGTCCGAAGCTTTCCAGTCCACGACCAACGCCACAACCGGTCGGCCCAAAATCAGAAAACGGCGTTCTGAAAACAGAAGACGAGCGAAACGAGTGCATTCGGATGTCTCAAATTTGGGGGATTGTTGTTTTCTTGAAACCACTCAAGGGGGTCCTGGTATCCTCAAAAGCGACACACCCATTTAGGAGTCGCGCGTTTGCGCGGCGCAATCCAGCGCACATGACGTTTTCCATTTTGGACCTGGGAAAGGCTTGCCATACTGTAGGATGGTTCCCTGGCGAGTTTGAATCCCATTTAGGTTTGCCACATGTGTGATGCCGCCTGAGGCCCCGATGGTTCGTGGGGCACTCAGCGGCTCACCCCGACTTGCGTTGCAATCCCTAAAAGTCACATGACTGCTATGCTCTAAATCGGTTAAAGTCTATACTGATTCTAAGCTACTCCCCATCAGCATGAAGACTGAGCCTATCGTTTATTTGGGGTTCGAGACGGGCTCTGAGTTTTCGGAGCCTTCATTTTCTTCGCTGGGGAGCTATGTTCGTCAGGCAGCTGACCGCAGACATCTCAACTAGGGCCGAACATTTGATTGGTTGCTTCAACTTGTGGCAAGTGGCAACCGCCAAAGAATCAGACCTCAGCTAGCCTGCAGGCACTGGTGCAAGTGAACGAGCTGTTTTAGATTGTCGCAGACAGGCGCATACCGCGTGTCTGCTGCTTGGCACATGGATAAAACCACGCAGATCACTTCAGTTCGCCGACTCGGGGGAATTGACGGATTTCCCGAATCGGCTTCAGAACTCGGTTCCCATGTTTCGCGCGTCCGAGGCACCTGGACCTTCTGCGGGGGCGCGGAGCACTGGCTGCGCCTCGCGGGTCTCGCGGAAGGCGGAGTTCTGAGCCGGCCGCTGCCGGGCCTCAGTCGGCCCATGCGCTGGGCCATGCGCCAGGAGGCCGAGCCCGGCACTCCGTGGCCAAAGGCTTCCCTGGAAGTCCTCGACCGTTGTTTTAGAATGGTCCATTCGGAACGACCGTGTTTGGCCAAGAACCAGCCGTTTGCGTAATATAGCATGAATGTCCCTCCTGCCAATAAAATTGCTCTTTGGCCTCAAGACAGTCGCTTTAGCTATGACATTGAGGGAACTCCAATATCTGGAAGGGTATCGCGTAACTGCCCAAGTTTGCATTGCAAAATAGGTACCAAGTGAACGATTGTACAGTAGTGTATTGAGCATAAAAGCCCGAAACAATTTGCAGCGGATAGTCAAGGAATTCAATCTCGTTATTTGACGACTGCAGAAGCTATCCTTCTGAACAAATTGCGAGAATAAGTCGCGATTGAAAATACCTTGCTGAGCTCTAGTATGAACAGTCCTGAAGTTACCGTGAAACTATCGTGAAATTGCCGTGAGACTACCGTGAAACTATCGTGAGACGCGGTTTTTGGCTGTGAAAGACCGCTTTTGGCCGTGAAAGACTGTTTGTAGTCTTGCCTCAAGAAAACAACATGCCGAGTAGACGCAACAAACAACAAACAACTATATAACTGCTGTTTTGATATGTTTTGATAGTTTTGATGTTGACTCCTACACATTTTGGCGGTGGCCTCAGGCAAAGTAGTTTTGCTTGTTGGCGCATCAATTACGTGCGCATCTGCAAAGCAAGCAGCCGACGTGGATGTTCTGTGTAGGCTCCAACTCTGCGCAGCAGGGCGCCCTTCAATTATGCCACAAATGCAACACCCCTCTAGCACTGCGCCCAGATCACATTCTGTTATTAGCGCTGTTTTGACATGCCCAGACTCCCGTTTGCGTTGCAGGAATCACATTGGATGGTAGCTTCGTGACATGTTGTAGCGCTTGGTTCACGGATTTCTGCAAATCACAACGACTATCGCGTTTCGCTGCGCCCTTCATTGGTGCCCGAGCCAAGATTTCCGTCGCTGAAAGTTGTGTTGAGGCTTGCGCCAAAGAGCTCTTGCTGTTCGCTAAGTAAGGTGCGTTTCAGCGGTGCCCTCAAGGGGCCATAGCAACCAGGCACGATCCACACGGCTGCGCTCAAATGGCTTGGGTTGAGGTTTGGCAGAAAAGGATTCTCGTCCTTCAGCCTTGAGCCTCTTGCGTGCTGCTGCGTCATTTTTCGCAGCGAGCATTGCCAATTTTCATATGTGGGTCAACGTCGAAGACCACGCCCCCTTTGGTTATTTAGCAACAGGTCGGTGAGAGCACGCGAGCTGCAGTCCGGCCACACTCGAGGGACATGACTGTGCAACCTATATAATCATTGGGAAGCTTGCAGCAAGACGAGTGACACCTCAACACATTTGAAACGACAATTGGTGACCCAGGATTTCACGGCTTGTTGCTCAGCCAAAGAGAATGTTGCGGAGGCCAGATCCTCCAAAACTTTGTGTTGTTAAGCTGTCATACAGTTTCCAGCCAACTACTCTTAGCTTCCACCAGCTTTACCCACCACGGGGGGGCGGGGAATTTGGCGGTTCGGTTTGGAGTAGGGGTAGTTCCGGGTTGGGGACTAAACAATTATGTGGGCTTTGAGGGTTTGGAGAAGCTGGGTTCTGGTCAAGGGCCTTGGGAACCAAACGCGGACAAGCAAAAACACTTTCTGCCCCCGGACTTCCGGAGTCCAATGCTTCGCCGTTTGGAGTTCCTTTGTTCCCGACGGTCCGACGGTCGTCGAAACGACTTCTCTTGGGCTCGGCTATCCCAGGCCGTTTCCTGGGGTGTTTCTCCCGAAGTCACTGGCAATCCCAGTCATGGATGCGGATATACCCGCCTTTACATGGTTCTGGCTAGAGCATTTCTTTTCTTTTTTACCAGGTTTTGATTAGACTGCGGGTCGGCATGGGGGCTGAGTTTTTCAGATTCCTGGGGGCTGAGTTTTTCAGATTCCTGGGGGCTGAGTCTTTCAGATTCTTGGGGGCTGAGTTTTTCCATTAAAAAACACTAAGAAATACCAAAAATATACGATCAAGACCCGTGACCTCTTAGATTTATTGGGGTGCGTTTTTGTTTTTTGGGCTGATGACATGCAAGCACAGATTCGTTTTCGATCTAATGAAGACTCAAATGCATCCAGACCTGGAAAATGAGCTAGCTTCAATCTGCACAGAAGACAGCCTGTTGAGAACTATTTTGCACAAATATCATTGTTGGACACAATTATTTAGCAAACGTGTGTCTGTAGCTTATTTTTGGATAATTGGCATGCTTACGCATGCCAAGTTTATAAACCTCAGGGTGCTAACTTTTGGAAGACGTATGTTTGGCACAAATCTTCAACACAAGTTGCATACGTATGCAATATTTTGGAAGACGTATGCTTAGCCATCTGCAAGCAGATGTATGTTTGGGACAAATATTATTGTTGTGTTGCAATTCTGACACACGTAAGTATGGCAAGCACAGCTTGCCACGCATATGAAATCATAAGAAAGGTAAGATATCACTGATCTATGCAGCTTTCAGCTGCAAGACTCATCTCTTTTTACAGTTGGAGGTTCAATATTTTACAATATACGCATGGGCTCTGCCCATGCTCTTGAGAAAAGACAGCTAACACAAACATATTTATCGCATAATGAGCTGGAGCAATTGGAGCACAGCTCCAATCTAGTTGCTTGAGCTCAAGAAGCACAAGATGCAAAGATGAGCACCTGCAACGACATCTGCAGATGCAAATGCCATTCTCTGCATAAAGCTGTTCAGCTTTGGAATAAGAGCTTTGGAATAAGATTCTCTGCAGCTATTCGTGTTGCTGAAGAGCTCTTGCAACAGTAAAGCTGTTCAGAATAGGTTCAAGTAGACACAAGCCACAAGCAATTGCTTGTGATGAGATGTTACCTGCAGAAGATGAAAGGAGAGATGAGATAAATTATCTCCAGTTACCTGGAGTTACCTGCAGAATATCTTGGAAGAGGCTTATGTTCTGTTGATACACATCTCATCATACTATTGATGTCTTGCATCAAGAAAGCTTGCATCAAGAAAGCATCAACAAAGTATTGTCTTCAGATGATGGGCTGTGTTTTTGGGTTTTCTTGGTGTTTATGAGCAAAGGCACCAAAAAAACAAAACAAAAACAGACCCATGGCCCTGAACTAGCAGATGCAGATGATGGGCTGTTTTTTTGTTGTTTTTTGGTTTTCTTGGTGTTTATGAGCAAAGGCATCAAAAAACCAAAAAAACCAAAAAACAAAACAGACCCATGGCCCTGAACTAGAAGATGCAGATGATGGGCTGTGTTTTCTTTTTTTGCTGAAAACAACTCAGCCCCCAGGAATCTGAAAAACTCAGCCCCCAGGAATCTGAAAAAACTCAGCCCCATGACGACCCCTTCTGTTTGATTATGACTCACATAGGGCTCCGTAAGATGCACGGATGAGCGACGAGCTCAATCAGCGGTTCCGAGAAAGGGCGAATCAATCATTGGGGCCGAGCCCTTCCCTCGGGGCCTTTGGTTGCTTCCCTAGTTGAAAGGGAAGCCAAAAGGAGCTACAGTCGGGGGTCGGCCAGGTGCTGGGAGGAAAGCCGCGCGCGGGCAGGCAGGATTTTTTTTTCCCATCTGACTTTCCCTTAGTGAGTTTTCGAATCCCTGGTTCCTTGTTCCCTGGTGATTTTCCTTGTTCCCTTACCATTTGGAGAGAGGTGATTTCACCAGTGAGTTTTCTTTGAACCCCATTTGAGAGACGTGATTTTGCTTGTTCCCTGGCTTTTCTTGGGGTTTCGGCGCTTTGACGTAACAACAGGTGCGCAGAAGAGAGACTTGCGGACTTGAGACTCGAGGTCTCGGCTCGGTCAGAATGGAGGTGGTGCGACCCTTTGACACCCGGGACACGTGGAAATTGGGAGGGTCTAACACCTGGACCTCTTTAGTGTTAGCCTGAAATCAAGTTTAAGCAGAAGCCAGGCGTAGGGTCCAGTTCATCTTGAATTGTCGGTTCCCAGTTTTGCAAATGCCAACCTCTGTGTGCCTTTGATGGCAGGCATGTTTAACAACAACAGGTAGAATCCAGAATCTACATAGTGGCCATGGGCCGGTTGACCCTTCCCAGAAAATCGGCTGGGGCTGTGCTAGAATTGGCGACATTTATTCCCTTGGGCTTTTCTTGATTTGGGGCACGTGCCGTGTCCTGAAGGGTCGTTTGGTTTGGGTATGTGCGTCCAAAAAAATGAAGCTTGTTGTGAGGGCCCCTTTGGCGGGCTTTGGCACATGGCACATGGCAAGCCCCTGGTTGCGAGGGAAACTCGCGCGACCAGGATTCCACACAGGAAAATCACGGTCCGACTTGTGGGAAAGCCCGGGGAAGTGGTCTGAAGCGGAATCTCTCAAGCTCGGGGTTCTACTGAGGGTTCCCATGAAACAACTTTTGAAGGGGGAAACCAGTGCATTTTTTCCGAAAGTTTCGGGCTTTGAGCTTCTGCAAAAGTCCAAGGAGCAGCAGGAGTGTTCGCCTTTTGGGCTCCAAGAGGCCTCGTGGATGCTAAACAATCAAGAAGTATTCATTGCCTTGGGGAAGCAGCAGCAAAGCAGCGAGAAAAAACGATAGCAAGCAGCCAAAAGCAACTGAAAAGAACAACGAAATGACGATTTGGCTACTTGAAGCAACTTCCCCAAGTGCTAAAGAAAAGCAACCGAAAGGGGCAACAAACCAATACGCAACCTTCGAAAAAAGAAGAGCCGTCCATGTGCGCAAGCCCTGTTTGGTTTGTTTGTTCAGAGGTTAAAGTGAAAGCTGGGAATCCCGTTCTGTGATACCAAAGTGGGACTCCCATTTTTATAGGGGTCTAAAGTTCAAACCCTGCTTCGCACACATATTTTTTTCCGACTGTGCTTCGAACAAACAACGATTCAAAAACTCTCTCTGGTTTCTTTGTAGACCATCCGAAAAAACCGCGCATTGGGCAAAATCCCCTCGGCCAAGTTCCTCTTCCGTCGGGAGATCTTTCTTGTGGCGATGTTTTCCGGTAGGTTCCTGGACACCTACCTGGCCATGGAGGTCTTCCATGCTGAGGATCTGCCGCAGGCCGGCGATTCGACGATTCGACGATTCAACGATTCGACCCGTCAGCCTGTCCCAGATACCCTGCTTTGGCTTTCAATGTCGGGGAGTTGGAACCTCCCGTTTTTGGATTTTGTGTAAGGGAAACCACGGGAGAAGACCAGAATCCATTTGGGGGGGGGGGGGGGCGATTCCGAAAAACAGACGGCCAGGTTGGAACCCTATGAGAAAGTGTTCCTTGCTCCCTTGAAACCAAGGAAGGGGTACCTCCAGAAAAGACGCACCTACAATTCAAGCGTCTTAGTTGAAATTTCACCGAGGGGTTGCACCAGCGACTCCACCCATGATGAAGGTCCTGTCTGAGAAGGGGATCGCTTGTTTCTGGTCCGAGCATTAGAAAGCAACATGTTCCGATAGCTACTGTTTGCATTTTTAGATTCACCAACCATAGCCCAGAATACGTGCCGTTTTTTGTGGGGGGTGGGGAGGGAGGGGGGCAAAAGCGGAAGGGCAATTGTCATGATAGGCAAATGCTTTGCGTCTTAAAGAAAGCGGTTATGTCCTTCGGTTTGCACAGTGTGGAAGGCGTTACTGTAAAACCCTCAATGTATGCCAAAAGCTGCTGATCTTCTCTGGCCTGCAAATGGAATACCGGGTTCCCTAAGTCCCCAAATTGATGCCGGGCATCCACCCGCATTTTCCTTTTCCTTCAATCTTTTGTAGGAGTCGATTGGGGAGGGTCCCAGATGCTTTCCCTTGATTCTCCCAAGATGCCCCTTGATTTCCCCTTTTTTTCCCCAGATGGTCTTTGTTTCTCCCTGATTTCCCCCAGATTGTCCCTTGATATCCGCTTTGATTTTGATGTTCGCTGGATTTTCGGACGTGCTTTCTTTTCCCTGGCTTTCCCTAGATGTTCCCTGAAGTTTCGCTCGATGTTCTTTGGTTTCCCTTGATTTTCCTGGATCTTCCATTGACTTTTCTGGAGTTTCCCTGGATGTTCCTTGTTTTCCCCACTTTGGTGCATGTTGCTTGGATGTTAGGGCGTTAACTTTTTGCCAACTAATGAGTTTTCCAGTAGGACCACTAAAAGTCAAACTTTTAGCGGGGGAGCAGAAAGCAGCCGAGCCCAGGTTTGTCCTTTGGCTGTGGCTTTTGCCCCTGTTCCCGACCGTCCGAGAGGACTGGCCCACGGAGCTGGTGAACCGGTCCAAGGCAATGCTGCTGCAGGCGCAACAAGTCGGCCATGCGGGGAATCTGAATGCCACCGGGTTTGGTTTTGCAAATAGAGGGGTTCCACTGGTTTAGATTGGTTTTGTGCAATTGTTTGTTCCACTATATCCGGAAACCCAGAATATATTTCCCACCGGGACACCTGTGCCACTCGGTCTATGGAACCATGAGCCCCTCCAAGTGGGCGATGGATGGAACCACCTGAGTGGGGGATATGAACTTTCAAATGTCACCAAAGGCTCCCTTTCTTTTGGACTTGACCCATTTGGAGGGCAAATGTGGGTAATACTTCAGACGTGGAATGTTTGGGAGAGGTGAGGGCAGGTTAGAGGCATACCTGCAAGGAACATGGCTTTGCACCAGCCGGAAAGACAAGAGGTATAGTTATATGGGGTAGAGGTTTGGGAGGAAAGAGTTCTCAGGATGTTTTGGGGCCGCTTCCTCACCATGTTTAATTGATTTTGATGTGATGCCATCAGTGAAAACCCTGAGGCGTGGGGAATTCCTGAACATCGCCACTTTGAACACCATCCTGAAAGCGTGCGAAGAAATTCCCGGGGGAACCTGAAGGAAAAAAGAGGCATGGCAGTACCCAAAAAAAACCAGCCCATGTTCCGTTAACTACGCGCCCCTTGAAATGTGCACCTCGTGCCTGGTCCTTCCGATTTAGACGGGGTGAGTTTCGGATGAGTCTGGGAAGCTCGGGGGTTCCTCAAGGGCAGGTCCTTTGATCACGGGCAATGGGTGCCCCGAAAGTTGAGAGGACCCCGGTGCCTGGAAAAAGTCCATTGTTCGGGGGGGGGGGGGGTAACATGAAAGCATAGCAGACCCAACATGAATCAGCATCAAGAGGGTTTAGATAGTTCAACCTGGAATACCCTTTACGTATGTATTTGGGCGCCGTGCCCCTCGACGTTGGGCGATGGGGCTGTGTTGGCTCGTGGCTGGATTCATAGGGGCAACAAGGTCATGTTCTCACTAAAAGGAGAGGTTTTCTGCTATGACCGAAGCAGGAACCAACCTTCTGCCCACAAGTGAGAATCCTGGGGGTCATGGTCGGACTTGGATTTGCTAGTACTTGCTTTGGATTTGCTTGTACTTGCTTGGTATTGCCAAGACTTACTCTCAGCTCTAGCCTGCTCGGAGGAGACCAGGTCATTGTCAAAAAAGGATCCCGGGTACTTGTGTTGGGCGGGGAACAGACTTTCTATGAAGGCGAACCCCAGTCACAGGCTTCTGTCGCAAAGTGGCTTTCTACCAAAGCGCACCCAACTTTCACAGCGCGTCCGACAGTCTGTGGATGCGGGGGGACACCAGGCATATACCATTTCAGCTTCAAGGCTTCGCAATTTCAACTTGAACCAGGGCCTAAAGGCGCAGGGATGGCCCAGGTTTGTTAACGGCTTTAAGTTCGAGCACCTCACAGGCCCACAAAGGCGTGTTGACCTCCCAAAGTGGCAGGTTCACTGGAACACCCCACCAAGGTGGGGCAATCCAGTGACCCTTGCCTACCCAGACTCCTCCACTTTTTTGCGAGCACCCCTAAAATCCACCCGGGCTTTCTTCGTGTATTTTTTGTTGCCGTTCCCGGGCTTCGCAGTTGTTCGACGAGGCCCCCGGATTTTTTGCACGCCGAGAGGCCGGCACTTTTTCTCTCCGCGCGAGAAGCCCCCCCGGCAGGTGGCGCAAGACGTGGCCGGGGCCGCGGGGCTGCCGGACTTCAACCGCTCCCAGGACGAGGCGCCGGTGCCGCTGGGGGTCACCAAGGAGCCCCGCTCGAAAAGCGCGAAGCGCGGCGCGCGAAAGGCGCGCGGCGCGGCTCAGCGAAGCGAGGCGAAGATGGAGATGGCTGTGGGTCTAAAGTAGGTACCCAAAATGCAACCCTGGTAAATGGAACGTCCCTTAGTGGCCTAATTTTGACCCATACCCATATGGAAGCCGAAGCCTGTGGCTTTTATGCTTTCTCTTTTTTGAGGCGTGTGTTGTTCTTGTTTTTGTTCGAGGAGCCAACCTGAAGAGGGTGCCCTGAAGAAAAAATGATAGAACCCAGGTGAAACAACACGGGTGATTCCTTGAGAAATGGACCCTTAGCCCAAAATCAAAGCGTTGATGAATAGTGGGCGCGTAGAGTTTTGCAGGGAAACCCAGACAAACCCATTGAGTCGGTCTGCATTGGAATGAGATTTACTTGATCTGAAACAGAATGAGAACGTTGGCGCATGGGGTCTAAGCAAGCAGGCTCCCGTCGGTGTATCGTACGGCGCGACGTGGCATTCTGACAAGCTTCTTGGCAGTTTCAGCGAGCCTCCCTCGTCCATGCAGATCGGTGAACTTTTTCGAGTCTCGAATGTGCTTCCATTTCTGCTTGCGGCGTGTGACCCAAGGCCTACGCACAAGTCATCTCACGTTAGAAGCTTTTGGGGCTGTCATCACAAGAGGGTGGTCGTTTGCAATGGGAACAAGCATCACGGAAAGGGCAATTTGGTGAGTTTGTCTGTTCAAGCGAATTTTGCCCAACCCTGATTTCAGCTAAACCCACCATGCGGAGGAGAGCGCCGAGAAGAATCGTACCGAGGTGGTACGTCAGTTTCGGAGGCGCGGAAGGAGGGAGAAGGGGGGGGCATACAGGGCTTGTGACTCTGTGTTGGAGCTCCGAAAGTGGCTGACTGGATTGAATGGAATCCCGCCAGACTGAAACGTTAGACTCTCCGGAACCATCCCGCAAGAAAGGTCCAACCCAACTTGATAAGTCGAGCCTCGCGAGGTATTTGGACCTCATGGCCAACACGCGCGTGGCCCAGGCCGGATGCGCTGAGTCCGGTGGGCTTGGGTTAGCCTGCAGGAGGGTTAAGCCACCAACTGGGAGTGAACTGGGGTTGATTGGGGGTGGTTTTGCCGGCTCACATTCTTTCAGGGTTTACACGTCATTTGGTTCTTCTTCTTCTTCTTCTTCTTTTTTTTCCCGGAGCGCCATGTTCGGGTTTGGAAACGAAACGGGAAACAGCCATTTGGAGACCGAGGGGACAGCTGAAGCCCCTCTGTGGGCCCAAGAAAGTGCAAGATCTCATAGATGCGTTTTGTGACGGGTCTCTCAGGGAATCCGTATTCCTTTGCCACGCTGAAAGTGCCGCAAAGCCAAATTGTCGGTGTGGAGACGGTGTCTGGGTTTAAGTCTGGTTTCTTTGGGGGTTTCTAGTGTTTCTAATGCTTCTAGCGTTTCAAGGGCTTCTAGTGACTCTCGTTGAATTGTTGGCGCTTCCTCGCGCTTTGGCGTGTTTGTGGGGATCTTGCCAAATGCCCTCTTACTATGCGGCTGTGTGTGTGTGTGTTACTTGTGGGCTTCAGGTTTTTTTTGGTTTATGAGCCCCCGCCACCCCCAAACAAATCAGGTGGCCGCACATTTCCAACAACATGCAACACATGAACATTAAACCACTTTCTCACGGGCTGGCTCCCAACAGCCAGCTCGTGCAAGTTAACAGGTGTATGTGCCCAAAACTCCTGTCCCCACCCCCACCCCCCCCACCCAACACCAGTTTAGCGGGAAAAACCAATCAAAGTCTGCCTCCCCCCCAAATCCTTGAACCCTGAGTCGCTGGAAAGGGTTTGGACTTCTTCCATCCCACCTTTCCCCCACCTTCCCCTCACCTTCCCCCCACCTTCCCCACCACCTTCCCCCAACCTTCCCCACCACCTTCCCCCCACCTTCCCCTACCACCTTCCCCACCACCTTCCCCACCACCTTCCCCACCACCTTCCCCACCACCTTCCCCCCACCTTCCCCCCACCTTCCCCACCACCTTCCCCCCGCCTTCCCACCACCTTCCCCCCACCTTCCCCACCACTTCCCCACCACCTTCCCCACCACCTTGCCCACCACCTTCCCCACCACCTTCCCCCCACCTTCCCCCCACCTTCCCCACCACCTTCCCCCCGCCTTTCCACCACCTTCCCTTCACCTTCCACCTTCCCTCCCCCTACTTTCCACCTTCCCTTCACCTTCCACCTTCCCTCCCCCCACCTTCCACCTTCCCTTCACCTTCCCCCCACACCCCCCCCACCCTTCCCCCCTTCCCGCCTTTGCCCCCCACCTCCGTTCCACAGGCGGACAAGTTCTTCGGGCACGCGCTCTTCGGTCTGCTGTTGGCACAGCTGGTGGCGCGCTTCGACCTGCTGCGCGCCGCGGAGCTCTTGGACCCGCTGGAGGTGGGCCGGGCGCGGCTGGAGGCGCAGGCTGGGGAGGGGGGTGGGTAGGGGGGGTGGGTGGGGTGGGGTGTTCTTCAAAGGTTAGGAGAGGCTTCAGGGATTTTTTTGGGGAACCCAATCGTTAGGTGATGTTTCACTGCAAATGGGGGAGCTCGGTTGAGGACTCTCAAACAGCTAGTGCCTTGCTAAACAATGTAGTTTTGAGTTTGGACCGCTGTAGACATTTCATTGGCCCCGGAGCTTGCGCGCCGACTGATTGATTTCCTTTTCGGGAAACGGGACAACGCCCCAACCAGGCTTGCCTTCAATTGTTCGAGTTAAAACAGTCCAGGACCTTGCACGGGTCGGCTTCTGCCTAGTTCAGCAGGATTTGTTTGCCTCCGTAGGTGTTCTGCGATGTTTGCCTATGGTGGGTTGCCTGGAAGCATCAGGAAACCCATCAAACTAGACCGAAAGGGAAATAAAGGGTACACGTCAAAGCAGGGGAGCATGTTTCAGGTGGCGTTCCTCGTTCGCTTTCAAACAACCCCAACAGAAGAACGTCGAACAAGCGCCCATAGAGGACCCGCATAGCGACTCCGTCAGGTCGCCGTGAGCGGCTTCGGCGATCCAGAGGACGGAGCCGACTCAGCCTCGGAGGACCCACGGCGATTTGGTGGCGCTCCCGTGTTTGCTTTTACGCCGCAATGGAAACCAGGTCATGCCTTGTTGGTAGATGAGTTGTAAGGTTGCTTCCCCAAAAGTTGGAACACGAGGTGTTTGGTTGATGGATTTAAATCATTTCCCGCTTAATAGGATCCCTGTCAAGCCGCAATCCCACAAAATTCAATCCGAAAAGCATGCCCTCCCTTTCAATAAAACCCGCCCAACGGAGGGACCCCTCACGCGGTAGAAAGCTTGGTTGAGAAAAGATGGTTCCGCGTCAGAACACCTCTCCGCTTCTTGAAAAGCCGACTTCTAAACCAGGTTGTTCCAAAGAAGTCCACCTTGAACATGACACCCATCTCAAAAGCTGGGGCTCTTTTTCTACTTCCGAAACACAACATGAAGAAAGGCCCCGAAGTGTTGTCATCTGGGCAAGCGTTTGCCACCGCCTCCTTGGGAGGTGGCAGTTTGTTCTTTGCTCCCGGCGGCAAATGGGAAGCCACTAGCCGACCAATCAACCAACCAGAGTCCGGCCGTTGTCAGAACCAGAGCTTTGTGGGTTTCTCCTTTTCCCTTTTGGTTGTTTTTTGACATCACCTTGTTCTTGGCCGAAAATGACTGTGGCTATAAACCTCCCGCGTTTCAGAGTCTCCCGCTGGAACCCTTGCTCTCCTGACAACTTGGGTTCAACTGAAACTGGTGCGCCTCGCCTTGTTGGTTGCTGATGTGCCATGGACACTGAAGCCGCAACAAATCAATACTCGAAAGAAGGTGGACGCAACATGGACTCTAAAGTGAGCCAACTATGGTGGCTTGCCTGGAAGCATTGGCCACAGAGAGCCAATCATGATTTTGTTTGGTGGCGGCACAATATGTTGTTTCTTTGTTTCTTTGTTTGTTTCGTTTGTTTGTTTGTTTGTTTCGTTTGTTTTCCCCTGGGGTTTTGGAGGATCCCATGGTTTGCTTGGTTTCTTATCGAGGCTTTGGTTGGAATTTCCCGGGGTTTCCCTTGGCTTTGGACAAAAGCGGCAGGACCAACTCTTCGAGTCCTTCGCCTTTAAAGCCCTCGGCTCCGGCGGCGGCTTGGCGCTGGGCCCACGGCAGCTGGGGGCGCTGCGGCAGTGCGCGGAGCGGGTCTTCGGGCGCGGCTTGCGGGAGGCGCAAAGGGAAAACTGCGTGCTGGTCGATACGTGTTTTCTGGTTGGTTGGTTGGTTGGTTGGTTGGTCGGTCGGTCGGTCGGTCTGTCGGTCGGTGGGTCGGTTGGTAGGTGGGTTGGTCGGTCAGTTGGTAGCTAGGTTATAGTAGCTAGTTTAGTAGCTAGGTTAGTAGGTGGGTGGGTTGGTTGGTTTAGAGGGATCCATGTCTCACTTCAGGTTAGGGAATTGTTTGTGCGAGAATTCGAGATCGTCCGCTTCAATGTAATCAACCCGCGTACTTGTCGGCGCATATCCCATTTGAGCTTGATTGATAAACCCCGAGGGGAGCGGCGTCCTTTTGTGTAGAAAGCTTAAGCTGATTTTGACCTCCAACAGCCTCAAGTAAGTTTTGAGGGATTCACAACAAAACATTGGAAGCCCTTCAGCCTCCTCGACTTCCCGGACTTGCTACTTGCTCGCTACTCGACCAGCTTTGCGAGTCAAGGAAGCGCCTTGCGACCTCGAAGTCTCTCTCCTTTCTGCTGGCTTAAGTACGGTAAGACTCATGGGCCATGGTTTTGCCTGGAGTCCTGGAGCTTGTGTCCATGGAGTTACTTCAAACATTGGTTGGGGAAAAGGCCCTTCCCGTCTTCAGATGAAAAGGCCCTTCCCGTCTAGACGCTCTTCCGGCACGGGTCCCGCAGCCCCGCACGGGTCCCGCGGCGCTTCCGAGGAGATCTTCCGGCCCCTGAGCCGCGCCTCCCGTCGCAGCGCCGAGGCGGGGCAGCCCGCCGCGGGGCCGGACATCTGCTACGAGGCGCTTCTTCGCAGCGATAATTGGCGCGCGTGAAACGCGGCCGATCGGCGCCTTCGGGGCGCAACAAATGGTGGAGGAACCCCCCCCAACAAAAATTTAACTGCTGAAAACGCAGTCCCATACGAGCGGAAGAATTGCGAAGGAGTTTGTTGCTGCTCGATTGGGCCACGTCCGGCCCTCCGGAGTCCCAACGAACCGCCACCTCAAAAACCCTCGCAACTGGGACGCACCAGATTGGAGTCGGACGCATTCACCAGGCGTTGAGCTTCAATTGAGTTTCAACGAATTTCCTTTCCACCGAGCCATTGTCGTGTCCCTAGTTCGTTTCCGTCGCACATCAGGTCCTGGTACCCCCCTTTGCTGGCTCCCAGCCATCCGGTTCCTTAGCGTACCTTTCAGTGTTTCGTGGTGGTTTCCGTATATAACCCACTAAAAGTGGTTCACTTTTCATCCCCTTAGCTGTTTAGCCTTTTAGTGTTTCGTGGTGGTTTCCATTTGACCCACAAGTGAGTCACTTTTCGCGGGGGATCCGAAAACGGGCAGCCCAGACCTGGTGGACCCGTTCCTTCCGAGCGGCCAGGAGTTGCTGGCGGCGGCCCAGAGCGGGGAGTTGAGAATGCTCTCGCTGCGCCCTGTCGAAGGGTCGGTCAGATGGCGCAGTTCCCTTGGATTATGTTGTTTTTCTGGTCTCCGAATGGCGCAATTCCCATTCTTGTTTTTTGTTTACATGTCAATCTTACACCAGGCAATTTCCCTGTATGTCGGTATCCAGCGTGAGGCAGGGAAAACCGGATTGTGGTTTGCGGTTGCGGTTGAGGTGTGGTCGACTTATATACAGGTGCTTAGCATTTCAATCTTGAGCTCTCCCGTGCTTCAACAGAATCCATTGGGATGCTATGAGTACAATAGCCCACAGAAACCTTCTACACCCAGCAGACGGCGCATTTCAAAGTTCCTGCAGTCTCCATGACCCTTTCAAAATGGGTCCATGGCTGGGTCATGACCCCCATTCTTCAAGGGTCATGGAGACTCCAGGTTGATGTTTCAAAAGTCGGCGGAATGTGTTTTTCGAGCTTTTGCTTCCACCAGCGCCCCAAGGAACGGGGACGCCGCCGAGCGCCTGACCTGGCACGGCCTGGTCTTCGGGGCAATGCTGGAGCCCGGCGACCAGTTGGATCCGACGGAAAAAGCTGAGGTCAATAGCAGGTGGCTATGGATTTAAAGAATATGGAACCCTCTGGAAAGTGGTTGGTGGACATAAAACCCCGTCGAAATGATGTCCACCCAAAGGGTCCCATTCTGGGGGTTGATTCCTTGTCCATGCTATTCAGCCATCGTTCTTTTCAACAACCGATCGCCATTTCCTCAGGGTTTTTGGCGGTTCTAGAAAGAAGGATCCCTGGAAAGAATGGGGGGAAGTTACCCCTAGAACCATGTGGCTATGAATTTGAATAGGGAACCCCCTGGAAAGTGGTTGGTGGACATAAAACCCCACCCAAATGATGTCCACCATTTCGGGTCCCTAATTAAAATTCATGCCCATGTCAATGCATGGGAATATTCTGCACTGAACGTGATCGCTCTTTGATCTGCGTCGGAGACCTCCATGTAGCGGTCGGTGGCCCTTTGTTGCAGTTCAACTGACTTTGCCACACTGCGTCAGGCAACTGGGTGCTTAATAGCGCACACAGTAATTTTCAACAAACAGAATCCAACAGGAGCTGTATACTCATGGTACCTGACGGCAGGGTAGCTGGTGGGATGGTTGTTCAATCTTTCCAGAAGCCCCCGCCGTTCTTGGCACCAAGTACTCGTACAAGGACCTTGCTGGTGTGTGTGTGTGTGTGTGTGTGTGTGCGTGTGTGTGACACGTGTGTCTCTCATGTCGCCTTTTTAGAACATATCGAGATTTCGTCAAGTGATCCCGCGATGCATCTACCAGTAAGCAAATGAGCAAATGCAGGTCTTTCCACCTCATTTTGCGCTTGATCCTACCACTGGTTCAATGGCAATTCCCCACACAACTGGTACAACCAGAAATGGTCCGTGCGCTTTTGCTACCGAAAAGGCATCAGACCGGTGGCAACTGGGCACCAAGCCCGACGCGCGCGCGCCAACGCGGTGGTTGAAACATCGTTTGGCCCGAGCCGGGGTTGCGGGGTGACACATCGCCGCCTTCGAGATCTCCGCATGGCGCCGCCCAACAAGAAGGCCATGGCCAGCGGGAAATTGCCTCCTTTAAGTTGCCAGCTGAAAGTGCGATTCCTTTTCCCCGTCGTTCATCGGCCTTTGAGTCCCTTTTGTTCTTGGGGAAGACGTAGCCGCTTGGGTTGTGAACCTGGCGCTTACAGGGTTTGCCCTTTTGCTCGTTTCTGCCTAACATGGGGGAGCGACGGAATATGTTCTGGTATGCTTTCAAACGGTTGCACAGTCAGGCGCGGTCGAGTTCTTGATTTCCATTTTCATTTTCAGACCCCTGAAGGAATTGGGAGGTGCATCCCATGCTCCATGACGACCTGACAAGAGTTCGGGCCGTAAGGGAAGAACGCTGGAAAATCGGAATCTTGCTGGTTCTCAGTAGGGAATCAACGTTTGGGTTTGGGATGATCCGTTTGGGACACCAGTTGGGCTGAAAAAAATACTCCGCGCCTTTTCGTTATGTAAGGGGCCGTCCCTTAACTTGTTTCGCAGGCCAAAGCCATTGTAAACCGATACAGAGGAAGAAAAAACGATACCCCCAGAAGCCATGAAGACACACATCAGGTCCAAGTTGTTGTCGCAAGCCAAGATCGCGGAATCATAAATTTGCAGGGCCCAAACCGATACCCAAACCGATACCCAACCGATACCCAAGCTGCCAAAGTCTACTGCGCATACTACTGAAAAGTTGCGACTTTCCAGCTGGAGCTGCCAAAATGTACTTTGCGTACTAACTACACTTGTACTGAAAAGTTGCGACTTTCCAGCTGGGGCTGGGAGCTGGCAGAGTGTACTTCGCATACTGCAAACCGATGCAGAGGAAAAAAACCGATACTGACCGATACTAGGGCATAAGGATACAAGGGTTGTCCACGGGGTTGTTTTTTCAACCCTGGATGGTTCAATTTGGGGTTCCAACGAAAATTCGCCAATGGAACCAGCGAGGGGCCAAGGGTCACCTGAGGCGTGCTTGTCGAGGCCAAATTCGACCTGCCGCAAGGGCCCCCAACACATGGCTTGCAACAATTAAATGGGCCTTATGGGGACGGACACAAAGCAGCAAGAACAAGAAACTAGCATCAACTTGAAGGGGCTTCGGATCATTGAGCACATGTGTTGAACCGATCAGGCCATCTCTCCTTTAAAGGACACCCATGAGGTTCTTCAAAGCGGTGGAATGAAGATGCAGCGAGGAGGTGACCCAATCAGCAACTGAACCAGATGCTTGATTCACTCCATGCAGTTGGCATGGTCTCCCTTGGACCAAGGAACATGGTACAACCAAACGGGAGGCCCTCGTGGTTTTCGGTCAGTGAGCAAGAAAGGTGCACTTTATGGATAACCATTTTCGCTGGTTTTTGGGGATCGCAAATGAGCGGAGGTGGTCGATTTTACCGCGAAACAACGGCAAGCAAAAATTGATTGGGTTGTATCCAGCCACCCATGGTTTAATCGTTCCATTGTGACCCGGGCGTGCTGGCCAAAGTTTCGGGTGTTTTCTCCTTCAAAGGTCCCTTTAAACCAGCCTGAAAAGGGCAGCAACAACCAAAGGCACAGAGATGGCTGGAGGTGAGACCAATTCTTTTATTGCGGTTCAACGGCTGAATTGCTGTGCGCATAGGTGTCCTTTTTAGGTTCGTTTGGCTAGAAATAGATGGCACTGATTTAGATGGGTTTATTCCATTTGGCCATGGGTCAGAACCTATGCCTCCATTTTGGGGCGGATGAACACCCATGTGCCACCCATTTTGCTGTTCACGAGGGGTTTCCTGGGTTTTGACCCACAGCCATTTACCAGGGCCATCGATTTTCCCAAACAATTGCATAGGGCTTCCGCCGCGATAGGCGAAGCTGTCGCCCGGCGGCACCGGCACCGGCAGCATCTCCAAGTTCTTCGGGCAGCTTGGCCGAGAGAGGATTCGGGGTGTCATGGGGGTACCCCAAGGGTTGTTCCGTTTCACCGAGGGGTTTCAAATGGTGGCTCAAAAAATGTAACATGGCGCTTGGTAAATGGAGACCAAATGAAACAAAGACTAACACCTGCGTAATCCTATCTCTTTAATTTTGAGCCAGATACCCAAATAGGTTGTTTCCCGTTTGGTCCCCTTTTTAAAGAAGCATACACGGGGTACCCTCAGCAAGAACAACCCATTTAGAAGACGTCCAGGCTTGGCCGTGTAAGACTTCCTTGAAGACTCCATGTAGGGCTGTTTTTTTTGAGGGAACCCCCTTTTCTGGTGGCTTTAAAAGGGAACCCAAGAGGAAACTGACCAGTCTTGGGGGCCACTATTTTGAGACACCCATGGGTAATATTGCCAACATTGCAGCTGCACCTGACACTTGGAGTCTGTAAATTTGTGGGTAACTATCGTTGAATATCACCTGCAAGGCTCCAGGGTCCTGAAGCTAGCCGCACAATTTGGGCTGGGGGCAAAAGCTGAGATGGCAAAGGGAAACCAATGGGAGGTTCTACACACGTCCTGTTTGTTTGCACCTTCTAGTCTAAGAACACAAACCATACTCTTTCCAGTGACTGGATGGTGTTTGCCGGTCTAGGCGATGGGCATTTGTTTGCGGTGGACTAGGTCTCTTCCTCGTTTTTGGAACTATGCAATTTAGCTCGCGTTCTCTGGTCTTTTCTCAACTCATGTCAGTATAGTCTTCACCCAACATGAAACAGCCCTGGTTGATTTTGATTGGGAGGGCTGTTGAACCTATCTAAGAGGGGATGCAATTCACCAGTTTTTGTGTTGATGCAATTCACCAGTTTTCGTCACCTAAGAAATCCCGGTCCCGTTTTCTGGCTGAAATGGTTGGTTGGGTATGGTCACTGTCACAAGGAATCTACCCCAGATCCAAGCGACTTTTGATTGGTACCTGAAGTCTCCATGACCCTTCAAAAACAGGGTCACATGAGTGATGTAGGTGTCATGACCCCATTTCCCAAGGGTCCTTAGGGAGACTCCAGGTACTCGGCCGAACCAGTCACGCACATGGAGCTCCGATCTCGGCCGAACCTTAGGCCAAAGAAGACCGAGGCGGACTCGAGCTCTCAGGCAGGGAATGTCTCACACAGCCTCCCGAGGCTCGGAGTGAAGACTCCGGAGGAATAAAACCCCTGGTGGATTAAGATGTTTTGTTTTTTTTTTGGGGGGGTAGGCGTACGTCCCGTTTAAGAGGGCAACCTTCACTTTGGATCAATCGGTTTTTTGTCGCCTTTAAGTGAGCATGACGTCCCGTTGAGGGCAACCTTCACTTTGGATCAATCGGTTTTTTGTCGCCTTTAAGTGGGCATGACGTCCCGTTGAGGGCAACCTTCACTTTGGATCAATCGGTCTTTTGTGGCGTTGAAGTGGGCATGTCGTCCCGTTGAGGGCAACCTTCACTTTGGATCAATCGGTTTTTGTCGCCTTTAAGTGGGCATGACGTCCCGTTGAGGGCAACCTTCACTTTGGATCAATCGGTTTTTTGTCGCCTTTAAGTTGGCATGACGTCCCGTTGTGGGCAACCTTCACTTTGGATCAATCGGTTTTTTGTCGCCTTTAAGTGGGCATGACGTCCCGTTGAGGGCAACCTTCACTTTGGATCAATCGGTCTTTTGTGGCGTTGAAGTGGGCATGTCGTCCCGTTGAGGGCAACCTTCACTTTGGATCAATCGGTTTTTGTCGCCTTTAAGTGGGCATGACGTCCCGTTGAGGGCAACCTTCACTTTGGATCAATCGGTTTTTTGTCGCCTTTAAGTGGGCATGACGTCCCGTTGAGGGCAACCTTCACTTTGGATCAATCGCTTTTGTGTTGCCTTTAAGTGCGCATGACGTCCCGTTGAGGGCAACCTTCACTTTGGATCAATCGGTTTTTTGTGGCGTTGAAGTGGGCATGACGTCCCGTTGAGGGCAACCTTTCATTTGGATCAATTGGTTTTTTGTGGCGTTGAAGTGGGCATGACGTCCCGTTGAGGGCAACCTTCACTTTGGATCAATCGGTTTTTTGTCGCCTTTAAGTTGGCATGACGTCCCGTTTAAGAGGGCAACCTTCACTTTGGATCAATCGGTTTTTTGTGGCGTTGAAGTGGGCATGACGTCCCGTCGAGGGCAACCCTCACTTGGGATTAATCGGTTTGTTGTCGCCTTTAAGTTGGCATGACGTCCCGTTGTGGGCAACCTTCACTTTGGATCAATCAATCAATAAGGACTCCCCCCTCGGGTTGCCCTCGCCCCAACAAGGGTACCTGAACGAATACTCTCCGAAAGTTCCCTTAGAAACGTCACCCCAAATTGAAACTCTGGAAACTCACCAGCAGAATCCCTGACGTTAGAGACGCCTGTGTGTGTGTTTGTTGTGTGTGTGTGTTTTTTGAGGGTCCCCTAAAGTCATGTTGGTTTACGGGCACAAGGACCACCGAAGTCCATTTGGGTCCATAGCTCTCCGTTTGGTTGCCGGGTCCCCGCCTGCATCCCCTCGCGCCTTGGCGCCGACGCCAGGAGAAGCCGAAGCCAAAGGAGGAGCCCCCGGGAGCGATTGAGGGCCGAGTGGGTGGCTCGTCTTTTTTTGGGAGCTGGTACTTCTTTAAAAGAAAAACATATATTTTTTGACTTTGTTTTATTATTGTTATTTATTTATGTTCGGTTTGCAAGGGGGAAGAAACACTGAAATCCATTTTGGGGGTCCCCTGAAAGACACATCCGTGAAGGAAAGGGACATGACCCATCGCTCCTCGCTTCTTCGTTTGGAGTTTTTCCAAAGAGACCTCTGAACCACCCTAAGATCCCCGTTGCTTAGGTTTGCGGTTTTGCTATCATTGCTCCCGGAAAGAAGGAGAAGACGAATTAAAATTCCTGGTTTGGGGGCCTGGTTTCATCCAGTGCTAGGCCTCTAGCCATTTGACAGCATGTTGCGGGGGGTAGTCATACCTTCCTAGTGCATCCTAGTGCCAACTGGTCACGAAAGGGGGGTCAGCACCAAGACCGGAACGAGCTAGCAATCCCAACTGCTTCAAGCTGGATTTTGTCCAGTCACCCAACCCCTGGCCCTTCTCCCATAAGAGTCACTAGGTGGTTCGGCCATGGCTTTGCTTGCGAGACTTGGCGCTCGTCAGCGGACCTTCCACTGGCCGTGGCGATGTTCCGCAGCCGCCAGGAGAAGCCAGCTGCTGCCAAAAGCCCGGACAAGCCGAAGGCGCGGGGGGTCTGGTGCGTTCCGCTTGGGGCGATGTTTGATGCGTCAAAATAGACTAGGTCCCGTAGTGCCCTTCTTAACCCCTTTTTTTTGGGGAGGGTTCCCCTACTAAAATAGACTACAGAAAAAGGGGTACCCTTATTCTAACCTCTGTACTGGAGGACCTAGTAGGGATTTGGACCCGCTTCTTGAATGGAAAAGGGTACCCTCCAAAAAAACACATGGGCGCCCATGTGAGGCTTGTTTTTGATCCGTAATCATCAGTCTTGTAACGTCGACCCCTTTGATCAACCTGGTGGATTGCTTGGTCTGTTTGTGTGTGTGTGCCACACAACAAGTGAAGGTTCCGCTCTAAGTGGGGCTGGGCCGTTCCCATTACTTGTTGGCAAACGTTTCTTTTCCCGCAGGCCCCCGCCGACGCTTCTGCAGGCAGGGCCAAGTCGCTCTTTTCGCATGGAGATGTAAGCTGGAGGGATAATTAGTGCTTTTTTTGGTCAGCGCATTCGAAAACTGCTCAGTTTGAGTTGAGTTTAGTTGAATCTAGATGAATCTCAACCATTGGACATGTTTGTTTTCTGGTTTTCGCTTTCCCCACTCGTTTGCTTGGCTTCAGTGTGTCCCTAGTTTCCCCTGCCCGCAGGCGAGCCGAAGCCAGCGGCGAAGCCAGCGCCGAAGCCCAAGGCGGAGCCGAAGGCGGCGGAGAAGCGGAAAGCGCCGGGAGGCCGGGCCGGGCCCTTCGTGTTTGGGAAATGCCGCGAGCGGGGGTCTCAAAATGAAATGCGGTGCTCCTTCTGGTTGGCATTTGAAGGGAAACCAACCATTTGAGGGGACCCCTGTTTTGAGAGGGTGTCGTTGTTGAGGGAGCTCTTTCTTGGGGTGGTTTAAGAGGGAAACCAAAGGAACACTTTTTTGTGGAAGGGGGGTCCCCTTTTTGAGACAAGCCCAAATTGCCCAAATGCTGCGAGTAATGTTTTGAAGACTGTACCTCATGAAGCTTGATTCGGACCCTCCAACCATATCCGTAAGACGTGGTCCGCCATTTCAACTTTTGGTTGGAGGGATCTTCTCTTAATTAAAATTGTCGGCCAGCAAAAAGGATGCCCTTTTTCACGTGGCCACTGGAGGTCTAACAAAATCGTCCCCCGATACTCTGCGGCAAAGGTTCGATCCGAAGCCTTCTAAGAACCCCTTCAAAGAAGATTCAAAGAACTTCTTTGGGGGTTGGGGTGCAGGGCCTTGGTTTCCTCTCTGTTGTTCGTTGCCTGGAAGACGCGCCCTGGTATTTCCCCGAACAGGATTCCAACGCCAGGTCGGTGTGTTTTGGTTTTGACCACATTTGAGGTATACGGGTCTGTTGGGCACGGTTAAAGCCTTTGAACCTATGCCGGGCGGCCTTTAGCATCTTGCTTGTGTGTTCTGTGTTAACTAGGGAGGTTAGGCCTTGGTGGATGTTTCTGCGTTGTTTGCTTTCCCAGACCGACGCAGCACATGTCTTAAACATGCTGGTGCAGTGGTTCAATGAGTGTCGCCAATTGGTTTGTAATTAGCCATGGTTACTAGGGTTCATTAGGAGCTAGGTCTCATTATGGAGCTACTTGGGGATTACAGACCACTTAGCTAAAATGCAGATTATCCAAGTGTTTGTTGCCCGTTGTGTCTATGGTTGGTAACTTATTATGTAGCTGGGTCATACGCTCCCGTAGTGCCGTCTAACTTACCCGAGCACCTGGCCGCTTTGGAGATTTGCGGCAATTCAGAGAGCCAGTGAGGCAATGCGGCTTTGCTGTTTCGTTCAGCACCTTGCCTATTGATTGGTTATCAACAACACCTTTTGGTCGATGCTGATTCAGTCCCCCTTTCGTATTGAAGGAGGCCACATATCTGAAACCAAATGTATATAGGACACTCGAGGGGACCTGCAGATCGCGGCGATGGAAATGCAGAGGCTCTCAACAGGAAACGTTGTCTTCCAAATCAGGCGACAGGTGCATCAGGCCTTGATTGGTATCCCAAATGGCCATCCATCAAAAGGTTCACCCTTTTGCAAATAGGACCCAACTCATGTACTCCGGCCGGGTTGTGATTTTTGGGCACCACCTTTGTGGGCTTGCTTTAAAGAGAAGCCAAAAGGAACCTGAACCCACAAATTATTATCCGAAATTATTTGGCTGTTTCTTAATGGGCGCCAAAAAGATATCATCTATTTGAATGTTGACCCAGGATGAATAAACCCGTCCCATTATTAGGGGGGTATTCCCTCCAAAAGTGATGAATCCCCACCAAAAGGGGACACCCCCTATTAATCAACCAGGGGCTTAGTAATCCGGGGTTAACATTACAGGGCCAACTCCCTATGTTGACACAATCCCACCAAGGCAGAGGGTCCATTCCTTGTCCGTCGGCAGGGAGCGCCACGCCCACCAAAGAGGAGCCAAAGCAGCCCGGCAGGGAGCCCAAGCGCGAGCCATGAATTTCCACACACCCCACATCAGAAGGTATCTGGGGGACTCTTCCCCTGCAGCTGGGACTTATTTTGAGGATTCATCATCATATCTTCAAGATGGATGTCCCAGACCAGCTTTTGGCCTTTTGATTGTCTTGGTTCAGTGGCTGGCACGCTTGGACGGAGTTCGCAAGCCCGCGACCCGCGGGGAAAATATTCTGGCTGGGTGCCAAGACACGGCAAGGCAAGCCTCTGGAGCCTAGGGGAAGGGTTCCACCATGCTTGGCGTCATCTTGTTGTTTTCGTTTGTTTTTTGGTGTGTGTGTGTGTGTGTTTTGTGTTGTTTGTTTTGTTTGATTGTTTGTTTGTTTTTTCTTTGGCGCAAGGCAAAGAGCTCCGTTTTTCAGCTTGCCCCTATACAATCCAGAGCGCCTGGCTTTGACTCCCAAGACGCCTGTTGAAGCTGGGTGTCTTCAAGCCCAGGCCATGTTTCAGGGCTGCGAGTTCCCGGCAGCTGGAAGATTGCAGTGCCTTGCAGCGAGGTTCCATGTGATCGCCGTCTTGAGTTGCGATGCATCAACCTCGAGCATCGTCCCGGACGAGCCTCAATGACTCAAGCAGCAACGTGTGCGAAGATCCAAGCGGTTGGAAAGGAACAGTCGCCAGAGGCAGGCGGCGGCCGGAAGATGGCCGCTGCCCGCTGCCTTCTTTGACACCGGGCGTAGCTGGTTTCGTTTGGTGTGTCCCCGTTTACACGTCACCCTGCTTCTTATCCGCTGTCCTTTCTAAGGTCTGCTTAGGCAAGCTGTATGCAAGGGTCTTTTTGTTGTTGTTTGCTACTTGCGACTGTTCCAAATCAAAGGGTGGACTGACCCAAAGTTCCGACTCGATGACCATCATTTGCAGCGTGCGGAAAGCAAGCCCACGGCCGGTTGGGCCCTGAAGTTCAGGACCCATGCGGAAGGCATGCGTCCAATCAGCCTGGCAGTTGAAAGTGGGAAAATGCAGTGGATTGCGGCATACATCAAACATCCCTTGAGTTTCTGCAACCAAGGTGGCTTGAATTACCAGGCAAGGTGGAAAAGCGTGACAGCCAGTGATGCCCGCGGCAAATTGCTTAATCAGCTGCTCGGCAGCTTGAACGACCCGCTCGATTTGTTGCGTCTTTTTGTTTGAAAAGCCGCACGGAATCCTCACAGTGGGAAGCAGGCGCCAATTCGGAGCAACGCAGCCATCCAGTTGCACCCGCTCCTCTCTGACTTCATGTGGTCAGACAGCTTTTGCCAACCAACAAGTTGCCACGGGCGCCGGGCACGAAATCGCACACTTCCTGGCGCAGCTGTGTGGGGACGATCTCCCGGATGGTGTGGCAGTCTTCTCGAGCAAGCCCATCATGGCCTGCAAACAGGCTCAAGTGGCAAACCTGGAGGTTGTATTTCCACATAGAGTTCATTGTGTTTATTTCCACATAGTTGTGTTTCTTCTTCTTTTTAAAGTTAGGCAACCCAAAAGGGGGTACCTCCATGTACAGACTTGACGTTTACAACATGCCGAGCCTTCCGAGGCACATCGCCTACCCCTGAGAAGTGGGGACCCGAGTGGACGCGGGAAGGGGGAGGTGCTGCCAGCGACTGTCCTCCGTGAGGTTGGTTACATCTGGGAACCCCCAGACTGGGTGGTTGTCCTTTCGGTTTCCCCTTTAAAGGCCAACATTGCAAAGGTACCCTCCAAAAGACACACACACACACACCCATGTTTTTTTACGGCTTGTTCGGGAATGACGGAGGGCACTGGCTAGATGTCCCATGACAACTCAGGGGGACCCAGCAAATTATCCCATGTCCACCTAGGCAAACACATTTGTTCACCGTGGCTGTATGGGCGTGTCTCTTTTGAGGGCGCACGGCTTGGCGCGGTGTTGAGTTCAAAGTGAAACCATCGCCCTATTTGGAGACAGCCCATGGTTCCCTGTTGAGAGTGAATCGCAGTAATTCCTCGCCACGGAGCTTCCCCTTCAATGTTTTTTTTTGTGGACACTGACTGGTTACCCCAAGATCAAGCTGACGCCCCGAGAGCCCAATGTCCAATGTCCCTTAAAGGACCCCAGAGCTCAGCCAGAGCTTATCCTGCAGAGACAACAAGCTTCTAGACCATCTATGGCACTATGGCAAGCCCTTGCCTTCTGGAGATTCGTTCAATTCCAAATTAGCTTGAAAGCGAAACAGGGTTGCTCTTTTTCTTTAAGCATGAATTTGCATATGCCTGCATTAGCATATATACAAATATAAATATATAAACGTAAACCTACCTGCCCACCTAACCTGACCAGACCTGAACTAGCCTTACCTTATCTTACCTACCTACCTACACCCACATGATCCTACATGCATGCATATACATTCCCTAGGTCCCCTGCCCTTTTGCCTTTTTTGGGGAGGGTTCCCCTACTAAAATAGACCACAGGAAAAAGTCGGGTACTCTTATTCTAACCTCTCTATATACTGGAGGACCGTCTCTCCCGCCAGGCCCCAGGCGGCGCCTGCGCGGCGGGTGGCGACGGCCTGCACGGGGCGGTTCCAGTGCAGCTTCTCGCGCCGGGATGGCCCAGGGACGGGGACGGGCGGTGTCCGCCTATCGCCCTTCGCTGCCGGGGGATGATAGGGTTGAGTTGTTTTTCTTTGGTTGGGACCCATTTTTTTAATTTGTTTTTAAGAGGAAAAGACAAATAGATGAACTTGTTTCATGTAAATGGTTGGTTGCGGCTCGTTTATTATTGGGGGCGGATCATAGGGTTGACATGAGTTTTGGAGGTACCAACAAATTGTTTTTGAACAAGACAATGAACCTTTGCATGTCAGTGGGTGTGTTTTTGAGGGTGGCATAGTGTTTGGCGATCTTTGTCGTAGATCGAACAAGTTCCTTTGGGTGAATCGTTTGGACTTGTATGTCATTGTTTTTGAGGGATCGGTTTTTGGGACAAGGATTCGGATCGCAAAGACACTCAACTCTGGCTTCCCCAATTTTGGACTTAGGACCGTGTTCAACTTCCGGATGTACTTTTGGGGTTTGGATGGCAAGCGAAAGCTTCGCGTTTGCCAAGGCACACGAGCCGGAAGGATCTTTTGGATTGTTGCGGCAACGGGGGAGGGGACTCGGCCAAACGGTTACCCCGGTTGAAGGAAGCAACAGATGGGGGTCCAGGGGTTTACTGGGGCGTTTTCGGGGATTATCGGAGTGATGGCGGACCCTCTGAGGGGCTGTTTGTTGGATACAAGATCTCCGGTGGTGCTCTTTTGCTTCTTTTGTTGGTGGGTTTCGCTTAAACACAATCACCGGCCCCAAGAAGGTGTCCTTGCGTTGGTTTCCGGGCACTGGATGTTTTGAGAAGCAGGGATGTGAGATGCGGCAGCAAGGTAAGACTTGGCGAGTTTAACCACCAGCATCAGTATCTCACAAACACCGTGGACAGGCCCTGATCCAGAGATGAGATGGGACGAGCCCCAACTTGTTGCCCCAGCCTCCGTTTCTCCAGGGCTGAAGCCTACTGAGTGGCAGCAGCAGCTTGGCGCGAAGTTGCGGCGCAAACGTTTCAACTGGACCAGAGGTGGATATTTAGTAGAAGAGTCCCTGTGGTTAAGGTCACTTCTACTTACGGGGCTTAAGAGTCATGAGGAGATGCTTATGCAAGGCAAGGGGGCCCCTTGGAAGCTCTATCTCTGGCCCTTTTTTGACCGTTTGGGAACCATATGAGACTTGTTCAAACCCGCGGACCGTTGAATTTGCAAGCTTGGGGAAGACCCAAGCAGACAAGGGAATGAGGATATTTAAGCAAACTGCTTAGACATAATAACACATTGACATGTTCGTGCTTTAGACGTCTTGTTGTTTTGGGCAGGAGTTGTCAGCCCTCAGAGAAGAAACTGTCTTTAGCGTCACCTCACCCCAGATGCTAGTTGAGGCCAGCCACACTGGTGGTGGGTGTAAGCCAGTTCTGAGCATGGTGGCAAGAAACTAGGTCAGGTAGTCGGATTTTAGTGCAACTGCCGTGTTCTGCTGAGCACATGTCCCGGTTTGTGTTACGCCTCCTTTTCGGGGGGAGCTTTGTAAATCCTTTACGGGGCACATGGGTGTGTGTTATGTTCGAGGGTGCCCTTTTAAGGTTGGTATAAAGGCAAAACCAGCCCAAAAGCAACTCCGACGGAATCGGCGCGACAATCCGACAGCTTGGGGTTTGAGACGTGACACCGTGACGACGGGTTTCCTTCGAAGCGGCAAGGTAGTCATGGGGACGGCCCACTTTTGGCATCACGGAAAGGGATCTGTCCCACAGCCATGCCCTTGTGACCGGGTACCTTTGCAAAGTGACACTCGACAGTTCAAACATAGGCAAAGCAGACAGGAGCGCCGACTTGTTTTTTGCATTCGAACTGAGAAGCTAGAAGGTCTTTGTTGAAATTCAACCCGAGCTAATGTGGACCCAGGATGAATAAGCCTCTGGTTGATTCATAGGGTGTCCCGTTCTTCGTGGGAATCCTTCACTTTGTGTGGGAACCGCTCTCCTATTCCACCAGGTTTGTGAATCCGTTGAGGTGAACACGTGTTTCGACTTCTTGGAGCTGTTGTGCAGATCGAAGATCCGTGGGCCTGTGGCTTCCCGTTCCCATTGCCCTATTTGGGGGGCCGAATAGGATCTACGCCCATGTCTTTTTGCAGGTCCTTGGGATGCAGGCATGGCTCTCGAACCAGCAACTGATGAAATCGCTGGTAAACTCAACTCCAACGCGATAGCTCCCTCGGTGCGATGGGCTCAGGTACAACAAGCTCTACAAGCTGCGCTTGAGCCAGCTCTCAGGTGTGTCACGATTTGCAGGTCACGATTTGGTGGCCGCTTCACCCCAGTAGCGAGTAAAAAACAGCCCAGCAGATCTCTACTACAGACGAAATAAAAATATCTGGGACATTTTTGCTGTGATACGCATGTCGGAGTCATACACATTTCATTTGAGTGTGACTTCTTCGAAAATTAGCGGTCTCAAGGGTGTGATTCCGAATCATGGTCATTTGGATTGACCAGGGAACTCAAAGAAGCCTTCGAGCCTTGCAAACTACTCGGAGCAGTGGTGGATTGAATTGCCACTCTGCCACTATGTCTGCCTGCCGGCCGAAGTTCTGAGAATTTGTTTTCTTCTTCTTCTTTTTCGTGACCCGCTGGAGGCTCTTGCCTTAAAGACAGCCTTTGGGCCTTTGTCTCTCCCTTGGGCAACCTTCCCCATGCCGCGGTTTCCCTTTTGCTGATGTGGGTGTCTCAAAGAAGGGGGAACCCTAAATGGCTGGTGCCCGTTTGTTTTCCCAAACAACAGCCACCCCGCAAGTCTAGTGCCTGCTTTCTAGAAAACCTCCGGAAACCCCAGGGAAACGGCCGTTTTTGTTTTTTAAGAACGATGTTTGAAAAGAATGGTTGGAATCAACCCCTAGAATTAGTAAGTCTTTAGCCCCTTGTTTTTTGCATCCAAGAGGAGACCTACTTTCAGGAAGCCATACACGTGCACGAGGGAATCAACCGTTAGAACAATGGGCTGGGCTGTTCCAAGGTAATCCTTCATCCTTACCTGGGGTTGCGCAAGGAACCGGTCCCCTTTGTAGTGGCTGCTGTTTTAATCCTTACCCGGGGTTACGCAAGGTCGCCTTTGTAGTGGCTTTCATATAGGGATGGAAAATCGGATTGGCCAACCCTCTTTGAACAGCCCAGGGTTCCCTTCCACACGAAGACGACGATCCGCCAGGCGCGGCGCAGGAGTCGGCCAAGCTCCGGTGGAGCGCCATGCCGCCGCAGAGCGGGGCGCCCGAAGAGGGGAGAAGCCACGAGGGTCTCTTCAGAGTTCTCGGCAGGTTGTTGCGGTTTTTTGGGGGGTTTTGGTTGGTACTGTTTTTTGTCTTGTAGCCGGAGGTTGTTTAGTTGTTTGGGAGTTGTTGTTTGTTTTGTTCTCTGCATTTTTAGCCGGGGGGGCTGCAAAAAGCTTTTGTTTTTGATACCATACCCAGGGTTGAAGGATCCGTGTTCTTTTGAGGGTGCCAACTTAACCCCAGGTCTCCAGTGGTGCACCTTTTGCTGTTTTTTGGAGAGGTTGAATCAACGATACGACTTCCATTCTGTCCCATGGCCACTGGGGGTGGGTAAAACCAACGACCAAACAGCGATTCGAGTGATTCTTTTTGTCCCATGGGGCCCCACTGAAGGGGGGGTGGTCGAGGGGGTTTCTGCTCAGCGAGGCTTTTTGAAGGACCTGGGGGGTCAACTGAACGTCGACACGGACCTGGTGGTGGCCGGGGTCCTCTTCAAGGAGCTCAAGGCGCGGATTTTCGGCAGGCCAAGTCACCCTGGAAGGAGCCTAGGTCGCCCAGTAGTGCCCTTTTATCGTTTCTTTTTTGGGGGAGGGTTCCCCTACTAAAATAGACTACCGAAAAGGGTACCCTTATTCCAACCTCTCTACTGGAGGACCTAGGAGTGGTTCAATATTCCTGGCCTCAAATGATTTTGGGTCGCCTTTCCCAGTTGGTGGCGAAGCGAATTGACCTGAACTGATTTAGTTTCACACCTCGGAGTTTTTGAGGATTTCTACACTGAGGGGAGGGGGGTTGAAGGATCTCTGCAGGCTCTGCAGGGATCACTCTCAGGTCACAACAGTGGCAACTACACCACTGCCCCTTTTTCCAAGTGCTACCCTGTTCAACAGCCTAATGATCATGTCAGCAGCGGATAAAATAGAACCAGGGTATTGGTTTTGGGTGGGCCGCGATTTGATTTGCCGGTTGATGGGTGTCGGCTTTGGCCCGCGTGGGTTTCTGCTGGTATCAGGCGCGGCCGAACATCATCGAAGAGTCCGGGCCTTGGGAGCAAGATGATCCAACGCCGTCCGAACCGTTCCTCCGGTTTCCCAAGAATTGGCCCCGAACTTGCCTTCGCATTATGGCCTTATTTGCAGGAAACCAGAAAGCTTCCAAGGGGGGGAGGGTGAGGGGGGAGGGGTTGGGTAAAGGGGAGGGTTCCAATAAAATAGCAGAAGCAAGGCGTTCTGCGTTTCATTCGGCCAATAGCGGCCCTTCAGCCCTGAGATCGAATGGCTTCAGAAAATAGAAATCGACCCCCTACAATGATTGGTTTCCTCTTGGTTTAGCTTTTGACTACCATCCAACAGTTGAGAAGCTCCCACTGACATTGTGGGGGTCCAATAAGGCTGCCAGGATCCACAGGCAACAGTGTGTGCTTCATAATCAGGCACCCCGGCGTGCTGAGGCACCCCATTGCGTCAATGCGAAAGGAAACCGTTGAATTGGCTTGTGCAATCGAGCCAATATCTTCACCCAAATGTATGAGCCCCCCGGTAGCTCTGAGATTCCATGGAGTGCCAGCTTGGGGGCATAAAGGAGCCTTTTTTACTGCCGGACTGAATGACAAATGGCTTGGGTTTCATATGTCCCCTTTAAACGGTCTCTGAGAGACCCGCCCAACTCTGGTTGGTCTTTTGTTGCGAAAGAAAGCCCACAAATTCGCGAGGTTCTCCGAAGTCGGATTTTGGCCTTCGTGTATTCCAGCCGGCTATCTCAAGCCAGGTTGCTTCAAGTTGGTTTCCGAGCGCTTCAAAACTCTCTGGGAGGTACAAGGGGAGCAAGGGCTTGCTGAACCTCCAGAAGGCGAGGCGCTGAGACTTTTGGGCTCACCCAGATGCAGTCAACGCTATAGGCCGTGTGGATTGGTTGTGCCTCTAGGGCTCACACGGCGCTTCCTTTGGTTACCTGCGATGGGGTGACTGGAGTCGCTGACTCGGATCCCAGTTGCCTTGAAATAGAAGGTAGTCAGCCAGGTTCCTTTCAGTTCTGAAATGGTGGTTCGCCAAATGGTCACAGGGATTTTAGTTGGCTGCTTCTTTGGTTCTGGTCATTTTGACCTGCATCGGGGGATGTGCTTTGCTCCATATTGGCAATCAAAACAATCGCGGACCATGCAAATCAGAGAAATCCCCCGGACATGATATTGGTTTGTCTCAAAAAGGGCCGCAAAAAGAGTGTTTTTCGCTTTGGCATCCGTTTGAAACCAACCCCCAAGATATGCGTACCAACTCAACAAAGACGAGCCACCCATTTAATTTCTCTGTAAGGGGGTTCTTTTCTGGTTAGTCTAGGTCGGAATCCGAAATTGACATTCATTCTGCCTATTCTATGGCGAGCTCACGGGGTAAACCGAACTCACCCGCCTGTGATGAGGGTTCTTTTCCTTCGGATCCTTTTTCAGTTTGTTTGAATTATTGAAAAACACATTCAGTTAGTTCATCTAGTCACATTTGACCTATTGACTGCTTTTTGAAAGCGCTTGGTCTTTCGGAAATTGAGAAAAGCAGTCATAGGGCGGTTGCTTCTCTTCGCGTGACAGGGTTTTGCGATTCAACCAGCTTCTTAAACATGTTCAAACCAATATTGTTGAAACAGCACTTCTTCTGGTCTTCCTTTCATCGGGACCTGGGTTGGGTTGCTTAAACACATGCCACCCACCTTTTTTCAGGAAGAGGTGACCTGTCTGCACTCGGAGAAGGATTGCTTGTGGCTGGAGGACCGGACGTTTTCCGGGTGAAACCTGATGGGTGGGACTCGATGCGATGAACTCTCTGACCTGTTCCTGGCTGCTCTTCTGCTACTCGCTCGGATCCCAAACCCCGGGCAATTTTTTATTAACCAGGCTCCCGCCTGCTGCCGCCGACCCTCGGCGCATTAAGGGAAAAGTCACAAGGACCGTTCCTGAAACACGTCCGCAAACCCAGGGACCACTTATAAGATCCTCTACGACCACAAACAAGGATTAACGGAAAAGTCAGAAATATGGCAGCTAGTCCGTTAATTACCGCTTGGGCCGGCTTGCGCCCAAGTCACTTCGAGTTGGCCCGGGAGCAGTCGCCTCTCCCGGGGTCGCCCTGAAACTGGCGCTCCCGAAGTTGCCCTGGACCGGTCGCCGGCAGGGACCGGGACAGGCTGGTCCCAGTCTGGCGCGGTTTGACTCGACGTATTGGACTCTCTTGCAGAATAGATCCAGGGATCCTCTATATACTACCACAAGGATTAACGGAAAAGTCAGACAGATGGCAGCTCGTCCGTCAATAACCGCACGGGCCGGTTTGTGCCCAAGTCACGTTGAGCTGGTCCTAGAAACAAGGCCGTCGGTGCCCCTCAACCGGTCGCAGGGAGCGACTGGGACCTGGGGCCCTGTCCAGTGTCCTGCACGGGTGCCAGTCCGGAAAGGTGTCTGGAGCGGTTTGAGGTGGCACCACAACCACAGCAGACCCGATACCAGCGGTCACACCACAACTCGATCCGTGTCCTGGCCGGGAGTCGCAGGACCGGTCCCAGGACTGGTCCAGGACCAGTCCTCCCAGGACTGCTCCCAGGACCGGTCTTGACCGGTTTCAGGACCTGCAGTCCCGGAGCCGGTACCAGTCCCAGGACCGGTCCCAGGACAGGACTGGTCCCGGGACCGGTCCCGGCTCAGGCTATCATTGATTCCAATCACTTCCAGTTGCATCCCACGCCGGTCCCCTCTGCAGGAGGCTGGGACGGGAGGCAGAGGGTCGGCGGATTTTTCCGACTTTCCCACAGCAAACAAGTCACAGCACGGTTTGCTTGCCGGGGCAAGAGCCCGCAAGCTTTAAGATTGTATTTGTTGACCCTTTTGTGGGTGGACTTTGTCATCGCTTCAGCAAAAAACCGAACAAGGAGAAACTTGATTGGGGCAACCGTTTGAGCAGAGGGTTTCGAAGCTTCGCTTCATTGAATGGACAAAGGCCAGGGCGTGGAGCTAGCTTGATTGCTCTTTGGTTGAGCGCGCGGAACGAACCTGCACACGCAGGCTAGGTATGTCATACTGATTTCATTCATCGCACCATTCGCACCCCCTTCCTCCAAGCCGTCGTCCACCTACCCCGCAAAGAGACTGGTGAGTGTTTGGCCCAGCTTTGCCCAGTAGAATGTGCTGCATGATGCTTATGTTTATATGCGTTCATGTCCTTATAGCCATGTTATCTGCAAACGGATCAGACATGTCTAGGTTTCCCAATGAAATCTCCCTGCGGGTTTCATGTGAATGTCAACACCAAAGGGAGGCTATCCTCCCACCAACATGGAAGTGCTCAGATCCCCGACGATTTTCCTCTTGGAACGGGACCTAGGGACCGTCGCTCTAAACCATGTTAGGAGGGCAAGGAACAACACGAACCCAATGGGGTCCGTCTGGGTTTTGGGCTCGGTACTCTTTTGGGGTTGCTTTAGAGGGAAAGCAAAGTGACAATGTCCATGTTGGGCGGGGGTCCCCTATTTCAAGACTCGCCCATATAGATAAGCCCCTGTTTGAGTGACAGGGGGCTACTCTGGCATGTACAAACATTGTATTTGGGGTATACTTGTGGTTACAAATCACTTACTCCGTACTGTGCCCCGCGCATAAGGACCGCTCCAACGAGCCCCCCCCCCTCTTCCCTTTTGGAGAGACCTTTTGGAAGAAACCTTTTGAAGAGACCTTTTGGAGACCAAAAATGCGTCTTTTCTCGGTGAACAGGGGTCTACTATATTTCCAATTTTCCATGCAAGGTTCCGTCGGTGGGGGTGATGCTTTATGGGGAAATATGGGAAGCCCTGCAAAAGGCCCGCTTGACACAAGCCTTTACTCGTCCGTTTCCCTTGGGGTTCCACGAAGGGGCGAAACGCCAACGAGCTAAGTCTCACTCAGGACGCGGTGATGCGGATCCAGGTGGAGGCGACCCAGGAGACCATTGCAGCGGCGCCCAGGGGCCAAATGCTGGGTGCGGGTGGGGGGGTGGGGGGGTGGGGGTGGGGTGGGGGGGTGGGGGTGGGGGGGGTGGAAAACTGGAGTCTCCCGAAACGACCCTTTAAAAATGGTTGGTCATTACCCAAAATAAAGGAATAGAGGGGTCATGGACACATTTTTTTTCTGGGTCATGGAGACTCCAGGCGGTTGGTTTCAACCCGTATGAAAGTTGGTGTGCAGTAAATCCAGCAAACCTCTCAGGTACCCCAAGTTGGCTGCTTGGGTTGGGTTGATAGCTGCGCTTTGGCAAGGCCGAACCGGGGGCCCGGGTGCTGCCCCCCCCCACTCCCAAAATAAAGGACAGCTCAGGGGGTTCGCCAACACCCCCCCAATGAAAAAGGGAAAAGAGCCCAACAAAAACGACCCCCCCTCCCCAACAACAAGAAAAGAAAGCGGAACACAAGCCGATGGAGTATCCCCAACAAGAGCCCAACAAGCAAAAACCCACAGATCCCGGGAGCCGCCCGCTCCGAACCTCCGAACTGCCCCCACCTGCAGCAACAAAATTCTCGAGCGAGCGAGGCGAGGCTAGCCACCGGCCTGGTGATCGCTGTGAAGGCCACTTTCACCCAGGCTGGGGGGGAGTTGTTTGGAGGGATGGGAACTCTGTTGGCCAGTGGCGCTTTTTTTTTTCCTCGTTTTTTGTTGGGGAAGGGTTCCCCTTTAAACCCAACCAACTAAACAAGCCCTTTCTTTTCCCATGGCCACTTCGGAGGGAATGAACCAGAAGCATCAGGCGTTCTTTGAGCTTAGTTTGGTTAGAAATAGATGGACACAACACAGGTTTAGATGTGGTTTCATTGCCCAGTTACCAGGCAAATATATTTTTTCAATTGTCACCTTGGATCGGAAGTGGGTTTGCCGGGACCATTTGGATGGTTCAGATTGTTTGTTTTAGGGGAATGAACCAGAAGTGGATCCAGGAATCCAGGAGACCGTCCTTTTGAGGGAAATAGTCTTGACGCCTCAGATGGAGTCCTACAAGCCAACGGTCTTGGGGTAGGGATCGTTTTTGTTTGTCCAGACAACCCAAACCTGGGGGAATTGTTGATTGCTCGGAAGTTTGCCGTATGGCGATCTCAAAGCATTTTCGAAGGCAACACGAGCTCGAGCCCCCAGGTTCTTGTCCTTGGGATCCCTCATTTCAGTTTCTGTCAAAGTCAGAAACTTGTTGCTTCCGGTAAAATGTGAACAGACCCTATTGGCAGTCTTAGTAAGTGGCTCTAGCACCTGGCTTCATATGGTTTATAGCAAAGTCTACATACACCTTTGTAACCCTATCGGTGGAACCAAGAGTCAATGGTTCTGCACTGTGGCCATGATCCTAGCCAAGCGATCCCAGTCCTCCCACGACTGGAGATGATCGGGCCAATCGCTACCCCGAGTCAGGCGGAATCAACTTCGAGCTTTTCGGAAGGTGAATTTTCTGAACCCGGCCGAGGGCGAACCTTGCTTAAAGGGCAGAGTACTGAGTATAAACGTGACGAGTAGCCCTGATTACAACCTACTTCGGGGACTTGAAAACCATGGTTAAGTAATTAGGCCATAACCATGAGTACTCACCATGTGCTAAGTTCTTTGCCAACTGTTTTCCCCCCCAGTGAAAAGCGCGCACAAGAACATCATCCAAAGCATATTGTCAGGTCTCATGTGCGGCAACAAGGGATTTGTTCGGCAAATATCTTTTGCGGAATAGGAGCCCTCACTTTCCCAAGCAAGACCGTGCTAGAGCTCGAACACATGCCACTTTCTGCTAGCGCTCAAAAGTTGATATAGGCTTAGATGTCTTTTGTGAAAGCATGTTACATTTCGATGTTTCTAAAACGTACGGACCTCAATCTTACTTTTTGGTTGGGCCGCAATGTCTGATGTAGCAGGGCCCTTTCCATCCAAATGGCAAACCTCGGCCGCAGATCGTCACTTTGTTGGCCCGGGGAAAAAAAACAAAAACAACAAGCAAAAAAAACGGGGAACAAAAAAACTACCTTTGGCCACAGGGATTCACATGTGTGTCACGGAACTTAACTGCTATTGGGTTGGATCTTTAAACTTTAACGTTTTGGGAATTCAAGTTGGGTTTTCCACTAAACCCCCAAAAAGTAAAAAAGCGTTTTGCTGGGGGGTCGTTGCAGCAACCGAGGGACTGCTGAGAAAACCAGCGGGGTGGCCAGCTGAGGCGGGCACGCTGAAGCTGCTGGACTACTGCTTTCCCAGGCGCGGGTTTCACACGCGAGCCTTGCACCAGAAGCTCACGGGACATTAAACAAAAAAAATCACGGGGCCCTAATTCGTAGAGTTGGGTGGGGTTGAATTTCAGCTTTCCTGGTGTTTTGGGGACTTGTTTCAGTTCATGCAGCCTCACTCACATCAGTCAATTTGCAGTTCGCCAGGGGGGCTGAACATCCTTTAAGTGGTCCGGGGAGTCCATGTCAGTCTGATGGTGGTTGGTGCCCTTTTGCGGGTTGTCTCTTGACGGGAAACCAGCGGGACACCAGAGCCCCTGGGGCGCCCATTTCTCGATTGAAGACACATGTATCAGTGTCTATCTTGCTTGGCCACCTTGAGGCTTTGATGCTGCGAAATGGTTTCGAATTCTGCGTGACGCAACCCCCCGCCTTCCTCCCATTTGACCGGCTTGGTTGCAACATGTGCGGTTTTTGAACCACCTGGCTTTGCTCCACTCTGAAGAACCCGAAGGAGGTTGTTTCCCTTGAACATTGGATTGCGATTTGATCATGGGCACGGCTAGCCCCTTGTAGCTGAAAGAAAAAGAGAGCCCCTAGTGCAGGGATGAGTGGTTTCAACAGTTGTTTTCAACAAGGAGGTGGCCCATCCCCTGCCTTGAGTAGGCTCACGGTTTTCGGTCGACAAACCCAAGTCCCGTTTTGTCTTTGACCCGCCCAGTGGTTGTTGTTTCCAAAGGAGCCCTGGGAAGCCCCGAAATTTGTGGCTTGCCTTTGCTTTTCCTTAGCCCGGACCCTCCCCCAAAACAGGGGACCCTCACAAAAGCTAAGCCGCCCCCCCCCCTCCCTCCGGTTGTTCGGTGGCACCATGTGTCCTTCTTTTGTTTTGGCGCCACCCAACATAGACCAACAGGTTTCCGTTTTCCCAGTTCCAAAAAGCCACCTCCAAGAGTTGAGTGCTTCTAGTTGAACCTTAGCAACCGTCGCAACAAGCAAGCTTTAAGCATGGACCCCGAAAGGGTTCCACTAACCATGGTCAACCCCGAAAAGGTTCCTGTTCTCAGCTTCTAACCATGGTGAGTCACAATTTGTGTACAAATCGGACCCTTGGATTGGTGAATTGGATCGGTGGTTTGGGGATTTCAACCCCTGGTTGATGTAGAGGGTCACCCGTGCTAACCATGGCTCCCCCCGGAATCTGTTTTCAGGGCGCCGCTGCCGCCCCAGCTGCCGCGCGGCAACCCGGTCTTGGTGGTTTTCAGGCGGTGAATGTTCATGGAGCCTCAAAAGTGGCTGGAGAGAAATCCCGAAATGATGTCCACCGAAGGGTCAACCAAGATTCACAACCATACTTCTTCTCTTGGTGGTGTTCAACATCATCTGTTTGGCCCATTTGAGGTAAGTTGCCCTTGGTTGGGGTGATGGTTTGGAGGGGAAGCAAAGCGAGCCTTCTGCTCCCAGCAGTTCCGAGCAAGCCACTAGGGAACCAGAGGAGACCATGTATGATGACCAGGGGGAAGCCAGCGCTTGGGTAGAACATCAGTGGGCAAACCGGACGTTGCTATGATTGTCCATCCGTTTGCAGTTGGTCATCCATGTCCTGCTCATTTCTTCACGTGCAGCGAGCCGCACAGCACGGAGTTTTATTTGTTGTTTGGGGGGGGTCCTTGCCTTCGCACTTCAGGACACCCATTTGGCCATGTGAGGTCATGTTGGCTTGGGAGCGGGTCCACCCCCCCGGCGTTTCGTCCATTGTAACAGGGATTCTGGGGGGCTTTCGGGAGCTTTGGGGAGCTTTGGGGGCGACCGGGTCCCTCTTTTCCCCCTTTTTGGCGGTTTTAAGCATCGCCTTTCTGGCCCATGACAGGCGAGTGTTGTTTGGCGTGATCTGAGCGGAAATATAACTCGGGAGCCCTGTTTGACGCCCCTGAAAGGCAGAAAGGGATCCCTGTCACGTTCAAATCCGCTTGGAAGCGCCGGTTTCGCCAACGCCCGAGTGGTTGCACTCGTGCACTCGTGCCTCTGGAAGACGACCATCTGCCAGGGTCGGGGAAAGGGCCGTTTTGCACCCCGCCCGGCCCAGGGTGGAGATGTTTCCCACTTTGGCCCATACCCAGTGGATCCCAACCACTGTACCTGTGGCTTTCCATTTCTTTCACCCGGATTTGTCGGACCGGTCCTTGGCCAGCTGGGACCCAGCGACTGCCCGGATCTCTGAGCCCTTCCAAAACGAAGGGCGCCTTCAGCCACATATTGAGACGGTTGCCCAGGTGCGCAGGCCAACCCCAAGACTCTGTGGGGAGGATTCCCGCACCCGATTCCGGCCGAGCTGCCCAAGTTACCGACGTTGGCCCGGTAGTGGGTGAGTCTCCATACCTGAGAAAGCCACCCCGGGTCTGCAGGTACCACCGGTTTGGAATCCATCATGCTGGTCAGAAACTAGGTTGACCCAAAAACGCCGGGGGCACTCATTCCCTATCGCAGCAGCAATATCTTTGGGGCGCATGTTTGAGGGAAACCGCCGCCATTTTGGGGTCTCAACGGGTAGCCGGAGGGGGTCCCCTCAAAGAGAACCAATTAGATCGAGGGTTTTCTCGGGGTCAGACTCCTTCTCTGCCTCTCTCGCACCGATGGCAAGTCCTTACATTTTGAGGACCCCAAAATGCGAGGACTCCCCCCCCCCCCGGAAAGAGGGTGGGTTTGCCAAAACCCGACCCAACCCCAAAATCGGGAGCCCGGCTTTCCCCTAAAAACCGACGGCTTCCCTAAAACGGGGCAACACCCAAGCGACCGACCCACCCAGGTCCCGCCGTGCGGGGCCCGCGCCTCGATGTGGCTTTGAACGCGGGGAACGCCACGAAGTCGAGAGGTTTTTCAGCTAGGTGCCCGTTTTTAACCAGTTTTTTTTTTTAGTTGGTACACTTCTTCTAACCTCTCTACTGGAGGACCTAGAAGTGTTGGACTAAGAGTTGGACAGCAGTTTTTGCAACATCGGTTGTTGGGAGTCCTCAACATGAGAGAGTATTATACTTATAGTACTATATGTACACATCTTAGAGAACCTGCAGGGACAAGTGGGGTATAAGGAACGGCCATGGTGAGAAGTCTATAACTATGGCTGCAAACCACGTAGAGAACCTGCACAGTAACAGGGATACGTAAGCAACAGCGCCTTGGTCCTACTTAATGTTCGCACAGCACCTCTACAGCGTAGCAAGCAGAAGATGCATATGCAACCCGGTTTTGCAACCCAGGCACCTAGCAAGGTTCACTTTTCTTCGCACGGATCTGCATCCCCAGGTCAACTTTTGCGGTTTCTCTTACTAGAAACCGCAAAGCAGGAACCATGTGGAAGGATATGAGGGAAGCTTGGGAACAATCCCCAGGCTTGGACCAGCGCCGTAGCTTGAGACAACTCAAGGGGCTTCCAACTCCAAAACGAGGCCTGCGAGGCGTACCCTGTCAGGACCCGAACTTCGAAATGGTTCGCTGAGAAAAGCAGTCGGCTCTAGATCTCCTCAAGGCCATTTCAGGAATCCTTCGTGGAAAGCAAGCAGTTTTTGTTGGGGTATTTGGCCAAGAAAAAATGAACACCAGCTTTCCTACTTGCTGCGCAGCTGAGTCACATTGAAGGTATGTCAGCCTACTGTTGTCATGGGGGCAATCCACCTTACAGCAGCCAAGGCACTTCCCAACGTGGTCGAAAGGGGTATGTCTTTAAAGCCCCCTTTTGGGGTTTCTTTTGGTTTGCTGCGCATCCAAACCACTTGGCCAATACTTTTGGTTGTCTCGAAATTGGAATTTCCTCCCCCCCAAAGAAAAGAGAAAACAACAACAGCAAACAGGACAAAGAGAAAGAACCAATCAACAACATGGGCTTCAGTTTCCTCCTCGACTCTTGGTGCGCCATTGCCACCCAACCAACCCACGGGGCTTCCAACGCCACCGGACCAGCCGAGGCCCTACTTGGCCCTGGCCTCCGGTCTGCACTTCGGCTCAGAGTCTGAGGCACGGCTCACGCCGTCCAACCCGTGCCGTGCCGTGGTCGGCCCGCCAAGGGGCTCAGCTTGCGATCGGTGCGATAGGAAGGGAAGGAGAAATGGAAGTGAACTGGTTTTTTGTGGCATTCCCTAGGAAACCACCCAGTTGGATTCGGTTTTTCTCGGGGTCAGACTCCATTTCCCATTCCCTATCGCACCAGCAAGTCAGACCCC